ATTTTTGATTTATTGTAGAGATGAGGTCTCGCCAAGTTGCCCAGGCGGGTCTCGAACCTGCGGGCTCAGGCAGTCCACTCACTTCAGGCTCCCAAAGCGCTGGGATTACAGGCTGAGCCACGGAGCCCGGCTGGCATGGATTTTAATAGGTAAAATAAACAAGAGACATGTTATTAAAACCTTTTTTTTTTTTTTGAGTCAGAGTCTCACTCTGTTGTCTAGGCTGGAGTGCAGTGGTATACCCACTACCACCACGGCATTGACCTGATGTCCTGATGTGCTCAGGCGATCCTTCCACTTCAGCCTTCCAAGTAACTGGAACCACAGATGCATACCACCATGCCCAGCTAATATTTTGATTTATTGTAGAGACGAGGTCTTGCAAATTTCCCCAGGCACATCAATTTGAATGCTTAGACTTTGAATGCTTAGACTCAGGCATTCTTCTTGCTTCTGCCTCTCAAAGTGCTGGGGTTACAGGCGTGAGTGAGTCACCATACCTGGCTATCAAAGTCTTTAACCATTTAAAAATAATATTTGTATAATAGTATTTGTTTTTCTTATATAAAAATTAATTTAACAGGTTATGCTCATAGACTAATTTTAGACTTCTGATGATATTGAATGCTTAACTTGGTTTATGAGTAACAAATTTAACAAACCTAATTCATCTTAGCTAAAGTATAAAGAAGTTATTTGCTTGACAAATAGCTCAGGGATTGTGAAAGTGTCAATTACATTCTTTCTCTCTATAAAACTTCCTGGATTATGTAAGTGATACCTGTTTGTTGTAAACATTTTTAAATACAGAAGGGCACAGAAAGGAAAGTAAATTACCTATGATTCTAATCTTTTTGTTAAAAAGTTCATTGTTAATATTTTGTTATTTAGGCTTTTCTTAAAAGGTGTGTCTTTCAGAAATGTATCTTTTAGAATATTTTCTCCCACTTAGCAGTAGATTATGCATATTTCCCTTATTATTATATATTATCTTAATGACTGTATAAAGTTTATCCTTTACGAACATTTTATTTCTGTTTCCTTAATGTTGTAAATAATATAATGAGCATCTTGTACTTGAACCTATTTCATGTATCTTAAATTATTTTATTAGTATAAATCTCCAAAAGTAGGCTCTATCTTAGTGCATTTTTCAAATTTATTTTACAAAATATTTTCAGTTTTAAATCCTTTTACCAGTGTATCTTTTTATCTGTTACAATAATATTTAAAAGCCAGGCTCGGTGGCTCAGCCTGTAATCCTGTGCCTTGGGAGGCTGAGGTGAGTGGATTGCCTGAGCCCGCGAGTTCGAGACCCCGCCTGGGCAACTTGGTGAGACCTCATCTCTACAATAAATAAAAAAATTAGCCGGGCGTGGTAGCGCGCACCTATAGTTCCAGCTACTTGGAAGGCTGAGATGGAAGGATCGCCGGAGCCCAGCAGGTCGAGGCTGCGGTGGCCGGGAGTGGCCACTGCACTCCAGTCTGGGTGACAGAGTGAGACTCCAACTCAAAATAATAATAATAATAATAATAATATTTAAAAACAATGTCTTCCCATTTGGGGAAGTTTTCTTTTAAGTAGGACTTATATTTGATTCAGGTTTTAGGAATTGTGAATATTATTCATGTTTATTTGCCAGTTATATTGCTTCAGAAAATTCTTGTACATTTTCTTTGCCTGTTCTTCTTTGGGGCTTTTAAAAGTCTTTCCTCAGTTTGTTTGAACCTTTTACTTTATAAGGGTCTGTGTTAGGCTAGTAGGTGAGGATGGAGTGCTATGGGCTGAATAGTGTCTTCCCAAAATTCACTTTGAAGTCTTAACATCCACTACCTTAGAATGTGACTGTATTTGGAGATGGGGCCTTTTAAAAAAGTAATTAAGGGAAAATGTGACTGTATGGGTGGTCTTCATTCAGTATGATTGATATCCTTATAAGAGGAGATTAGGACACAGACACACTTAAGACAGAGAGCAAACAGTCATCTACAAGGCAAGGAGAGATAACTTCAAAAGAAACCCACCTGCCTATACCTTGATCTTGGACTTTTCTGACTTCCCGAGTTGTGAGAAAGTAACTTGATGTTGTTTAAGCACTCATTCTGTGGTATTTGTTATAGTAGCCATAGCAAACTATTACGAGGTAATCATTTTTTACTTATCATTTTTATTGGAAATATTTTTGAGTCATGCATTATTTGACCTTTTAAAAATATAATTTTATTTATTTTTAAATAAAGATGGGATCTTGCTATGTTGCTCAGGCTGGTCTCAAACTCCTGGGCTCATGTAATCCTCTTGACTTGTCCTCTCAAAATACTGAAATTACAAGTGTGAGCTACCACGCCTGGCCTATTTAACTTTTAATTTTAGGTGTACAGATGATAGAGGTTTAGAAATTTGCTTCTCTTATCTCAAAAATTTTAAGTTATTGTTTTAAATCTATGCGTATGAAAACTTATCATTTCAACATTGTACAAAAAAGAATAAAATAAAAGAAGTATTCATATTCATTGAAAGCTTGAAGCCTCTTTATTCATTACATTTCAGAATTTTAAAGATTACCAGTATTTTAATATCGGTAGTATTACAATATCTGAGAGCAGCTACTCTATTATTCTATCCCCTATCCTGCTATTTGAATTATTACTATTATTTTTTGCCTCTAAACAAAAAATTAGACTGAAAATTTTATAAGTATCCTACCAGTATTATATTATTATTAACTTTTAGGGTCCTTTTTTTTTTTAACTATGAAGACATGTGGTTACACTTGGTTGTTTAGTTCAGTACCGTTACAATGTTTATAACTTCATCCTGAGGAAGAATAATAGTACTTTGAAGATTCTTCTGCATCTTCATTGTTAGTTAACTTGTTTACCCTCTCTTTAATCCATTTTGGTTAACCCCAATAAATAACTTTAGGACATTTTATGTAACTTTTAGATGAAAGTCAGTTTTCAAAATTGATACCTTGATTAACTGGTATGTAGTCATCCAGGTGGGATCCAAATAACTAATATTAGATCAGTGCTGTCAGTGAAAACTAGGAAAACCTATTTGAAGGCAGGAAGGAACTGCTCAGGCAACTAGAAGTACAAGGGCTAAAGTTTCAGAGAAGAGAGAATCTTCTAGAGGTGAGGTTACTACTTCAACCACTTTTTCCTAGGGAATACTTGCTGATGCTAAGTGTGGGTAGGAAACGAAGGATTCAAGTGTTAGGCCCAGGACTAGTGTTACCAAAAGAAAAAAAAAAAAAGCAAAAAACAAAACACAGTGATATTGGTGGAGACCTAGGATGCATCAAGCATAAGGAGATTCTTCCCTCAGTACAATTGTTTAATCTTGGGGCTACATGAAATGGGAAACTTAGCACCCAAGTAAAAAAATTTTTGAAAATCGGAAATGGAGCATGTACAATTTTTGTAAGACAAATGCAATTTGTCATCAACTTTGAACTAGTCCCTTAACAAAAAGCATTCTGTTGAAACTTTAGGTGGCAAGGAAAAACCAGAGGTAGACTGAGTTTTACCAGGGCAGCCACCTAACCTGGATTCAACATTGCCTAGTGGCCTAACAGAGAATTGTGAAACCTCTGTAGAGGTAGATAACACCACCAAGAATCTCTGCTAGTTTTTATATACAACCAAAGATTAAGAAGCCATCAAAGGACAGAACTACATGACTAGAACAAAAGGGGAAACAGCTGTAACAGACCCGGAGATGAACCACATCATTCAGATTCATTTAGATGACAAGTACTTTCAGTAACTATGATTAATAAGAAAGCAAAGGAAACTAAAGAAAATGGATGCAGGTTGGAGATTTTCATCAGAATATCGGAATGTCTAAAGAGATTAAGTGGAAATTCGACAAGGAAAAAATGTAATATAGGTATAACAAGATTAGGTATAATAAAAGATTAGACACATCAGAAGACAGGTAAATAGGAAATATTAAACTTGAGCATCGAGATGAAAAATAATGAAAAAAAGAGATTTACAACTTTTTAATACACATGAAAACATCTGACATTTAATTGGATTACCAAAAGAGGAGTGTAGAGAAAATTGGACAGAAGTAATTTTGAAGAGATTATACGGAATTTTTCAAAATTGAGGAAATATATCAACCCAGAGATTTAGGAAGTTTTGTTTACCCTAAGCAACACAGATACAGAGGAAACCAAAGATAAAGAAAAAATACCCTGAGAAATAGGACATGACTTTCAAAAGAGCCAGCAAAAAAACTGATGGCAGACTTCTCAACAGGAACAATGGAAACCATTTTGAAATTTTTGGAAGAAAATATAACGTAAAATTCTATATATCCAGCAAAATATTCTTGAAACATGAAAGTAAAAAAAAGTCATTTCCAGAGAAATTAAAAAAAGAAAACAAGAAAATCATTACCAGCAACCTGGGATGAAATTAATTCACAACATTAACAAGACAGCAACAACAGTGTTCTTCAGCTAGGATGAAGAATATTCCATTAAGGAACCACCAAAATGAAGAATAATGTAAAGGATAAATATGTGAGTAAATACAAATGTCTTTTGGGGCTTAAGAGATAAGGTAGAAAAAATGACAGCAATCAAATAAAATGTGAGGGGAGTAAGTGAAGTTAAAGCTTACGATTCTAGCATTATTGAGGACATGGAGAAGGTGATGCTTTTTGCTAGTAATAAGTCAACAATGCATGTTGTAATCTCTATGACAACGACTTAAGGAGTTTTTGAACAGTAACATTACTGAGGGATAAAAGGATTAATAGAAAATATTTTTTTTTAAGGCAGGAAAAGAAGGTTAAAGGAACTTAAAACTGATAGGTCAAATTAAAACTAGTAAGATGATACAGTGCTGCCCATTTCAGCAGTAGAATCATATATTTTTCAAAATATTATTAAATAAAAATATCTTACTTTCCAGTCTAAAAATATAGTATATATAAATACATATGAATACAATACAAATATACATACTTGTTTTTCTAACAGCTTCTTTGTGATATTGGTCACAGTGAAGAAAAACTGGGCTTTAACTATGAAGATATCATAATTTGGTAAGTATAGTTCAGTCCCTTTTCCATTCCTTCCAGATTTTATTAATTTTAGTTTTAGTAATTTTAAACTAGAAATAGGATAACACAGCACCTCATATTTGATTTTGTAACAACAGTTACTTGAACATTAGAAAAATTTAAGAGCTATGATTATAGTATTTATCTTAGTGATATTTTCTAATTACCAAATATGAAGAACCAAAGTGAATGTACAAAAATACTTGGATTTCTATAATTTAAACTTCTAAATTAAATTTGAAATTTGCAGACTGAATTTCTTATATTGTTCCCAGGAACAACAAGAGCCTATAACCTTACATCATCTTCACTAAGAGAAAGTGTGCTTATGACAAACTCAATTTGCCCATACACACTAATAGAGGCATAATGCTATATAGTTTTATAACCATCTTTTTTATATCCTTAAGAATTAAAATGGATTTAAATGGTCTGTGCCTGCTATTGTTATAAAGTGTTTTTATTACTGATTTAAACCAATGATTCTTTAGAGTATGTGGAAGCAGGTAGGCAGGTATAGGAGAGTAGATTGAAGCGGCCCAAAGAGTACAGCTTGAAAAAGGCATATTTGATTCCCCATACTTTATATAAAATAAACTATAGAAGGTAGAACAAAACTCAGTAATATTTTCTTGAATGACAAGAGTATAGTAAGGAGGGATAGATTAAAAGACAACAGGAATATTTGTCTGTGTATTTGAAACCCATAATGCACAATTTCTTGTTTGTTTTCATAGTTTGCGATTAGCTTTATTAAATGAAGCAAAAGAAGTGCGAGCAGCAGGGCTCCGAGCACTTCGATATCTTATCCAAGACTCCAGTATTCTCCAGAAGGTGCTAAAATTGAAAGTGGACTATTTAATAGCAAGGTAATTTTTCTAGAGTTGTTTATGTTTTAAAACTTTTGTGTTGAGTTTTAGATAATCTTTCATAAAGTGTAAAACTTGATGAATTTTGTAGTGTAAAGCTTGATGAATTTTGTGTATCTACTTATAACCAAGTAATAAAATTTAGAACATTTTTGGCATCCCAGTAAAGCTCTGTTATTCCTCCAACCAGTAGTAAACATTATTCTGACTTTTCTCATCATAGAGTATTTTTTCCTGTTTCTGAGCATCGTGTGTTGGAAATATACAGTAATTACTCTGTTCTTTCCTCATTTTTGTCTTTGTGATTAGTTTACATGAGTGTATCTTTTTGTTTGTTTCTTGCTGTATAGTATTTTGTTTTATGAATAGACCACAATTTACTGCATTCTTCTTGATGATTTTCTCAGTTGTTTTCAGTGTTAGACTATTTTGAATAAAGCTGCCCTGGACATCCTTGTAGAAGTCTGTTGGTGGGCATATGTATGCGTTTCTCTTTAGATATGTAGAACTAGTATTGCTGGGTCATAAGTTATATGAATATTTTGCTTTAGTAGTTATTGCTAAATAGTTTTCCAAGTGATTGCATTGATTTACACTTCTACTAACAATGTATAAGAGTTTCATTCACTTCATATTCTCATCAACACTTGCTATTTTCAGTTTTGTTTGAGTTGGCGTCTCATTCTATTGCCTAGACTGGAGGGCAGTGGAATGCTCATGGTCATTGCAGCCTCGACCTGCTGGGCTCAGGCGATCCTTCCACCTCAGCCTCCCAAGTAGCTGAAACTACAAGCATGTGCCACCACACCTGGCTAATTTTTTGATTTATTGTAGAGGTGAGGTCTCTCCAAATTGTCCAAGCTGGTCTCAAACCTGTGAACTCAGGCAGTCCTCTCACTTAAGCCTTCCAAAGTGCTGGGATTATAGGCGTGAGCACCCGGCCTTCAGTTTTTAATTATAGCTTTTCTAGTGTGGTTTTTAGCATGGGGTCTCATTTTGGTTTTAATTTGTGTTCCTTGATGATTGATTATATTAAGCACTTTTCATTTCTTGTTGACAGTTTGGATATTCTGTCTTTTTGCTCTTTGTAAGTTGGATTCTTATTGAATAGGAATTAATGATGTCTTTGGAATGTGAGTCTTTTCAGATATATGTATGTTGAGAATGTCTTCATTTTCCTTGCCTCTTTACTCTTTAGTGGGTCTTTAATGAACAAAAGTTCTTAATTAATAGAATCCAAAATGCTTTTGGTCTATGTATTTAGAAGAGTATGTTTTCTTCTGAAGATTTTGTTCCTTTATACATGCGTAAGTCTTTGAACCATCTGATTTGATTTGAACTATCTGTTTTGATTTGATCAAATTTGATTGTTGTATTGGATACAAGGCAGATGTCAAATCATGATTCATTTTTATGAATATCCAATAAATATTAGCACTTTCTGATCAAAGAGTTTCATTGTAACATTGAATATTTATGTAACATTGTTGTAAATCAGGTAACTAAGTATGGATCCATTTTGTGTTCTCTATTCTCTTTAGTTGATCTATTTGTCTGTTCTTACACCAGTTTCTCACTGTCTTAATTACTGCAGTTTTATAATATGTCTTGATATCTGTTTAATGTGAGTCCAACTTTTCTTCTTCAAGACTTGACTATTATGGGTTCTGCATTTCCATATAAATTTAGAATCAGTTTTTCCATTTTCACATAACTTGTTCAGGGATTGATTGAAACTCTGGATTAATTTGGGGGTGAATTGACACCTTGATATTGAATCTTCTGAATATTTATTGATTGGAAACTTTGATTTTACTCAATAACATTTTATTGCCTTTTTTTTCTTGCAGAGATCTTAAGCATATTTATTAGGTTTATTCTAAGATATTTTAATGATGCAACTAAAGGTTTTTTTCTTTTCTGTTTTTGCTACTAATATATAGAAAAATAATTTTGGTAAGGGATATTGACATTTTAACTAGCAGCCTTGCTAAATACACTTTTCAGTTGTAGTTGTTGGTAGATTATTTTGAATTTTCTGAGTATGAGCATTAATTGCAAATGATGACCATTTTATCTCTTCAGTTCTTGTATCTTTTCTTTTTCTTGCCTCACTGCACAGGTTAGAATATTGTACTGAATTGAAATGATGATAGTGGGCAAATTTGTTTTGTTCCTGAATTCAGTAGACTTTTGATACTTTGCTCTATGTTTATGATTTTTTCTTTAGAGATGGTTATAGTTCTATAAATTATTATATTGTGCTTTCATGAAGTTTCAACTGAAAAAATTGTTTTTTAAATAATATTCATCACTAGAGATACATAGGTTAACTAAATAAATATTTGTTGGTACTGAGAAATTATGTATGAAAATTTTATTATACCACATCGATATTGTGAAGGTGGATCTAATCTAGTGGTATTATGATACAAAAAGTTGTTTAATAGAATTGTGTCAATTATTGATATTTTGTGTATTATTTAGGTGCATTGACATACAGCAGAGCAACGAGGTAGAGAGGACACAAGCACTTCGTTTAGTCAGAAAGGTATGCTCTATGTGTGAGAATAAAAGCCACATTTATGACTTCTGTGTTAAAATTTATATTTTTAGATTACACTATGAAATATTTTTATTAAAATTTAAAGACTAAACTTTTATTAAACATTTTTATTTTGTTGAAGTTATGAATTAAATAGATTTATTAAACTTTGTGAACAAATATTTTGTTGAATTATTCTGTGTGATTGAGTATAGCTAGAATAGTATTTCTTATAAAATATTTATTGTGAAGAATATTTCTTTCTTCAGTACACATGTAAATGTATGTACAGCTTTGATAAGTTATTGAAGAAAAAAGATTACTTTCTCCTCATCTTGATTTTTCTCTTAATTTCATACTTAGAATTAATACTATCAAATGAATGCCAAAAATAGTTACAAGGTCTTTGTTTTTATTGTTGTTGTTGTTTGTTTGTTTTTTGAGTCAGAGTCTCACTCTGTTGCCCAGGCTGGAGGGTAGTGGCAGCCACTGCAGCCTCAACCTGCTGGTCTCAGGTGATCCTTCTGCCTCCTCGACCTTCCAAGTAGCTGGAACTACAGCCATACCACATTGCTGAGGCTGGTCTCAAACTCCTGAGCTCAGGCAATGCTCTTACCTCAGCCTCCCAAAGTGCTGGGATTACAGGCTTGAACCACCGTGCCCGGCCACAAATTCTTTGTTTTAAAGATGAATTTGGATACATTCTGTGGGCAGTTGCAGTAAACAATTCTGGTCATTTTGCAGGATAAAAGATTACAGTTTACACTCATCAAGGGAGGGTGTTACAGACAATTCATAATGCTTCTCATGAGATGCCTTCAAGGACTATTTTGTTGTTTATTGTGATGCCCTAATGGCCAAAGAATTGCATGTTCTGAGAGCAGATTTAGTTGGCACAGCCTGAGTTAGTATCATATTTCATTTTAAACAATCACGCAGTATAAATGTTCATGTAACAATGACTATAATAATTTAGCAGTTGAAATTTTTAAGTCTTTTCTCCTTACTTACCTTTGAATTCAGTGCATGCTCCAAAATGGTGGACTGTTCAGTGTGTGTATTAACTAGGGCTCCCTCTTCCAGCTGTCTACCTTGTTGTTAGTAATATCACCTACAAGTGAACATAGGAAGAACAAATAAATGGATGGGCTTCAGTTTTAAAAGAATTTTGAAATTCTAGTAAGGGTGATACTGGAGATAGATTAGGAAACTTTTGTTATTTGTAAACTGATTAGGAAGCTTTTGTTACTTGTAAACTGTTATGCTAGGACTGTGATTTGGCTTTTCAAATTTAAGTTTAAAAATTAGGTTTATGATTTTGGTTTATTTATATAATTCCTTCTACTGCCACAACTGAGTATTCAAGATAAGAAAATAAAAAAGAACCTGGAGCAACTTTTGGGTTACATGTCAATATTTATCACATTAGGAATTAAAATAAATATTAATATATTTAAAATAACAAATCTATTGCATTAATACAAGCATATTTTTAAGAATATATTCCACAAAAGAAAATTAGTGTGAAAAAACTGTTGTTTTAGATTTTTGGAAATCTCTTTCATTTGTCTTGATAGACGACAATTGAATTATATTTGTTTTTGCATTCAGTCTATTGTAAAATCACATACAGTGGTATCTCTGGAAATGTTAATGTACGCTCGTAAGAAAATGAGAGTAAAAGGACAAATAATGTCTTTGTATTGCTATGGAAATAGTTTTAATTTTGCAGGATTTTTGAAAATAATCTTAGGGACTTTTAATATTTCCTGGTCCACACTTTGAGAATTACTGCCCTAGAAATTGCTTTCAGAAGGAAAGACAATGTCAAATGGATTCAAACAATTAAATTTAACTCCTTTGAATTATTTAGTAAATATTTTACTTCAATTTTTAAAAATATTTTGTACACTTAAAATATAATTTAATAGTTTAGTAAAAGTAAACAGATCCTTAAAAACAATTCAATAGCAACATAACGAAAACTTTATTTTATTCTGTTGTCTTCTGAGATGCAGAGTAACTTGAGTCAGGTATCATCGTGACTCCAAGTGCAGTTAAATTGCTTGTATTTGGTAGTAGAATGTCGGCTCAGAGGAAGAATTGTAGCACATGGCTTTTCCTTGACTTAGCAGAGAGGGTTGGAGTTGAAGACAAAATCCATTTGGTGGATGAACAGTGGCCTCTATAGGCCAGGGAAACTCTAATTTCATTAGTACTTCCAGCATCTAAAGCACACAGTTCTTTTGTTTTGTTTTGTTTTGTTTTTTAAAGATGTGGGGAGTACACAGTTCTTTTTTCCAGCAACACCTTGGCAACTGCACTACAGGTTGAGTACCCCTTACCGGAAATGCCTGGAACCAGAAATGTTTCATCTTTTGAATTTTTTCAGATTTTGGAATATTTGTATATACGCAGTGAGATATCTTGGGAAGGAGACCCAAGTCTAAATACAAAATTCCTCTGTGTTTCATATATACCTTATACACATAGCCCAAAGGTAATTTTATACAATATTATAAATAATTTTGTACATGAAACAAAGTTTGTATACATTAAACCATCAGAAAACAAAGGTGTCAGGTGCGAAATTTTCTACTTGTGGCATGTTGGTACTCAAAAAGTTTTGGGTTTTAGTGCATTTTATATTTTGTATTTTTGGATTATGGACGCCCAACTTTCAGTAGAAATTAATGTTTAACATTATAACTACTGTTACTGAGGATTTTTTTGTATGCATTCAGAAAGGTTTTCGAATTTTTAGTAAAACTATTATCTCTTATATTTTAAAGGGAAAGCAAAGTATTTCTTGCTTTAGGATACCTTGCTGTATGAATAATTAAGGATACTCATGTTACTTTTCCCTTTTTTCAACAGTCACATTTATTTGGAAATCTGTGTGCTTGTTTCTTTTGGTGTCTCCCCTAGTCTTTCCCTTCCTCCCTGCTTTTCTCTCTCCCCACTCCTGTTCCCCCATCAGGACAGTCCTCTCTCATTTTTTGTATCTCTCTCATTTTTTGTATAAGTTTTCCACTGATTGCCTGTTACTACTCTTTCCTTTATCTCTTTCTCATTTTTTGTATAAGTTTTCCACTGATTGCCTGTTACTACTCTTTCCTTTATCCTCTTCAAATTCTACTTAATGCCTACCTACTATAAGCCATCATTTTCTTCATATTTTATTTTTTATTCATGTAATAAGGGTTAATAATATCACAGGTTTTTTATAGTTGAACTCATTTGGCAGAATCACCAAATACCAGCGAGATAGTGGCAAAGCCAGAATGGGAACCCAGGTCTCCAAGTTTCCAAACTTACATTGGCCCATGAATTTTAAGTACAACCTGCCTGCCTTGGCATTCATAGCCCACTTTTGGTCCAATCAGCTACTACTCTTATTATGTTACCTGTTGTGTTAGTTACCATGTGTGTAAATACCACAATCATTACTTCCTTTTTACTGTTTTCATTTCATTTCTACTGCTTCGCACCCTATGTTGATTTTCTATTCTCAGCTCACATATCAGATATTCCTCATACACACACACACAGACACACAGACACACACACACACACACACACACACACACACACATACCCAAATATACATATATATGGGTAATATATCTAGATTTTTTTTAGTTGAAGACTCACTCTGTTGTCCAGGCTGGAGTACAATAGCATGATCACATCTACCGCAGCCTCGACCTGCTTTGCTCAGGTGATCCTTCCATCTCAGCCTCCCGAGTAGCTGGAACTGTAGGTGTTTGCCATGGCGCCTGGCAAATTTTTTAATTTTTTGTAGAGATGAGGTCTCACTAAGTTTCCTGGGCTGATTTCAAACTCCTGGGCTCAGGCAGTCCTCTCACCTCAGCATCCCAAAGTTCTGGGTATACAGGTGTGAGCCACTGTGCCCAGCTAATTTGTTTTATATGTTTTAATAATGCCAGAAAAGATGATTAAACTTTTTATTTTATTTTAATAGTGATTACATTTATGACTTCCCCATGTTAAGTATTGATTGATTTATGAGGAAAACATTCTCTGTTTTATACACAACTAAAAAGTTTCTTTGCATATATTTCTCTGGAAAATAAGAAAAATTATTTTATTTGTAAAAAATTAAATTTTTTATATCTATTTCATAGCACAATCTGAATTAATTATATGTTTAGTAGATACTTAAGATTCATAGATTACAGCCTTCCTAGTAGCTGGAACTACAGGCATACATCATAAAAAAAGATTCATAGATTTTAGATATCATCTGGTCATAAACATCTTCATTTTGCAAGTAAGGAAACTGAGGCACAGGGAGGATTAATTTGGCCAAGATAATATAGTTTATTAATTGCATGTTTAACTCTAAAAGCCACTTTGCCTGATGTCTCAGCCAGATTTTTGCAGAATATGTTAACTGTATTTGCAGTATGGGGAGATTTTCTTACAAGTTTTTTATAAGCATAATAATAGACCAGTAAATATTATAATGCAAATTAATATAATAGGATGCTAGAATTCTTTCACCCAGAGAGATCAGTTTTCTGTACTTCCTTTCCCCCTCTTCCCCCTTTCTCTCCTTTTCAATTAATTGAAAATATTTCTTTAGAAATGAGTGTGAAAACTTTCATAATTCTACAGTTATTGGAAATGCATTTATTTTATGGTTGTGGAACCATATTCAATCAATTTCAGTTGAACTTTGTAATATTACTTAATTCTGCTTAAATGACATAAACCATTTACAACTACTCTAATCAATTTTAATCCTCTGTAGGACTTAACTATGTATCTTTTATTTGGTTAGACTGTATCCTCTAATTTTTTCAAACACAAGTTTTGTTTTTCCAACAAGATAATAAATCCAGTAGTATCCAGGATAGGTTAATTTTCCCTAATACTTATTACCATCTAAACAAAAGAAAATATTTTCTTCTGTTCACACTCCAGGAGATCATTAGGCATCTGTTGTTGCAGTCAATAGATGAGAGAGAGTGAGGGCCCAAATCAGCTAATTTGATGGGGAGGAGGAAGAAGGAATAAAGATGTTCATGAGATAAATTGTTAGGACTTGGTGACAGTTGTATATAGGAAGTAATCAGGATGGTAATGGTGCAACAGTATATGAACTACTATTGTCAACTGATTTACTTTGTCTAGGGACTGAAAAGCTGGTTGAGATACAACTTGTATTCTAGAGTAACTTAGAATCTCAGAAACATTAAGTCTTATTGGACAGTTAATTTATAGTCTGGACCATTAGGAAAGAATTCAACTTGTTTTTCCATGGAATGGTTATTAACATTTGTATTAATCTTTTGAAATACCTATTTGAAGCAGAAGATTAAAATAGGTTCCTGGAACTAAAAAATATTCTGTGGTATTAAATACCTCAATCTAAACAAAATAGGTATAAGAAGTGTATTATGAAGTAAGTAACTTCTTTTTCTGATTCTTTTCCTGTTACAGATGATTACTGTGAATGCTTCCTTATTTCCTAGTTCAGTGACCAACTCATTAATCGCAGTTGGAAATGATGGACTTCAAGAAAGAGACAGAATGGTCCGAGCATGCATTGCCATTATCTGTGAACTAGGTCCGAATTTTCTTAAAAATAAAAAAATTATATTTTAGAAAGAATATGTAACATTTTTAATGTCTTTAGCACCTGAATAATTTAGTTATTAGTGCAAAAATATTTTAAAAAGTAGTACATTTCTGATAAGCAGAGGACTTACTATTTAACAAATAATTTCAAAGTGACACTAAAATTCTATAAATGTTAAAGTTTTACTCATGAAATTTAGTATAGGAATTGTCTGAATTCCAGTGATTATAATAAAATCTAAAGTCTAGCTTTCTGATATTAATTATACTACATCTTGATGTAGGTTAAGAACAGTAAAAATTTTCTGTACATAAAAAACAAATCTAAGTGCAAAAGGATCAAAGAATTAATAGGAAAAAGTTGGGGGAAAATATGAATGAATATTTGGGAGGAAAAGGAGTTTTGAATTTTCAAAAGAAGTCACACAGATTTCAGCAGCTATAGATTTTACTATAAGGAGTTGAGGAAACAAGCAGTGCTAGAACAAATTTTTTTAAAAAAGTAACAAGTAAGATAAGCAACTATGTATTTACAAATCAGTAGGAAAAACAAATACAGTTTGTCCTTTATAACTGCAGGTTCCATATCTGGATTCAGTCATCCTCTGAAAATATTTGGAGGATAAAAACCACAATACAACAATAAAAAATACAAATTTTAAATATTGTGTAAACAGTTTATATAGCATTTATTGGGTTGATGCATACGTTCATAGTGTTTTTCCACTTGCCTATGCAATGCAAATATTACATAATGGTTGATTGGTCACATTTGATCACATTTGCCAGTTCTTGGGTTGACTGACGTGGATCATCATGGATTAAAGCATTTAAACGGTCTTCATCAAAGCCCGATGGTCTTCCTGAATGTGGAGAACCACTGAGGTTAAAATGGCCTTCTTTTAAACAGCAAAACCATTTTCCTGCCATGCTTTCCTTGATGGCATTCTCCTCCTACATGACACAAATGTTTTGAGCCACCTCCACTGCCTTTATTCCTCTGTTAAACCCAAACAAAAGAATGTGTCGGAAGTGTTTTTTTTCCACTTAACACTCCATCTTCTTTATCCCACAAATAGCAGTAACTTTTCTCAAATATGCAGACTGCAAGATGTATTCACAAACACAACATTGTCACTCCAAATGACAAATTTAAAACGATCAATTCCTAACACCACAGTGTTGCCATGCCGAAAACAAACACTTCAAACTTATGCATCGGCCTAATACATTATATTAGGTCTTATAAGTGATCTAGAGGTGATTTAAAGTATGTGGAATGGTGGGTGTAGGTTAAATGAAAGTATTGTGCCATTTTATATAAAGGACTTGAGCATCTGCAGATTTTTGTATGGGGAAGCCTGGAACTACTCCCTGTTGACTGTAATTCTCAAATTCATGGCTGATCAACATATTGTTAAAGTTAATCCTCACATATTTTCAGAAAACTATAATTTTAGATGACAAAAAAAATGAGTTTTTTTCCCCACTACCTAAGGTAGGAATGGTATGGATCACATTGCCTCTTGAGATAATAAATGATAAAAATTTAAGTAAAAGAAACAAAAAAAGAAGCAAACCGTACCATTGAGGATTTTCAGATACTGTCCACAATATCTGTTAATTCAGAGACAAAGTCAGAAATGTGATTATGAAAATTTAGAAAATAATAAAAATTGTGTACCAATGTGTGAGATGCTTGGAAAGAAATGCTTTTATAATTAAGCAAAAAGTAAGTGAATGAATCAGTGCAACTCAAGAAACTGGAAAAAAAAATTTCTTGGTAAGCAAGAGGAAAGCAATAATAAAAGAACAAGATACATTATGCATTATTTATTCTAAATTATGTTAATTAAAAGAAGAAAACAATGAAATATACAAATGCCTGAAATATTCAGAAGGTCAAAATAAGAAATAAAGAAATGAGAAAAATAACATAATAGAATTTTTTATTTATAAGGCTTTTTATTTGGAAACTTGGAAAAATGAATGGATTTTCAGGATAAATTTTAATTTCCAGTTATAAATTACAAAACATGATAGATCAGAAACTGTAGAAGTATTTGAAAACATCGATGAAATAATAATTGCTTTCAAAAAGGCTCATCCAGGTAGTTTTTTTTTGTGTTTTAGCAAGGAACAGGTAATTCTTATGTAGTATAATCTGATTTAGAGCATTAAAAGGATAGAAACCTACCAGTTTATTTTTATGCAGCTAGCATTTTATGTACATATACACAGATACAAAGATAAAATAATTAGGACACTACTTTGTTAACGTTCTAGAATATTTATATTTAACACAAATCAATAGGATACTGTTCTTTTTTTTTTTTGAGTCTTACACTTTCCTTTTGTCCATGCTAGGTTTCAGTGGCATGATCATAGCTACCACAGCTTCGACCTGCTAGGCTCAGGCAATCTTTCTGCCTTAGCCTTCTAAGTAGCTGGAACTACAGGTGTGCACCACCACACCCAATTAATATTTTGATTTATAGTACAAACAATTTGCCAAGTTGCCCAGGCTGATCTTAAACCCTTGGCCTTAGGCAATTCTCTTGCCTCCGCCTCCCAAAGTGCTGGGATTACAGGAATGAGCAACCGCACCCAGCAGTGATGCTTTTCTATTCTTTTGTTTTTTTTCTTTTTGAGTTGGAGTCTCACTTCTTCACCCAGGCTAGTGCAATGAATGACACACTCACAGCCACCCCAGAGTCGACCTGCTGGGATCAGCCTTCCGCCTCAGCCTTCCAAGTAGCCGGAACTACTTATGCTACCATGCCTGGCTAACTTTTTCTTTTTCTTTTTTTAAATTGTAGAGATGAGGTCTCACCAAGTTGCCGAGGCTGTTCTCAAATCTGTGGGCTTAGGCAGTCCCCTCACCTCAGCCTCCCAAAGTGCTAGGGTTACAGGCCTGACCGCAGTGCCTGGCCGATGCTATTCTTAATGGTGGATTTCTACATCCTTTTAGCTATTAATTAGCATTGTTTTAAGACTTTTAGCCAGATTATTAGTCAGGCTAAATAAGAAGTTCATATATTGGCCAGACTTGGTGGCTCAGCCTGTAATGCCAACACTTTGTGAGACTGAGATGAGTGGATTGCCTGAGCCCCCGCATTCGAGACTAGCCTGGGCAACTTGGCAAGCCCTCGTCTCTACAATAAAATAAAAAATTAGCCGGGCATGTTAGCATGCGCCTGTAGTTCCAGCTACTTGGAAGGTTGAGGTGAAGGATTGCCGGAGCCCAGTAGGTTGATGCTGAGGTGGCCATGAGTGTGCCACTGCACTCCGGCCTGTTCCACAGAGTGAGACTCCAACTCAGAAAAATAAAAGTTCATATATTGGAAAAGAGATAGTATTACTTTGTAGACAATATCCTATATGTAGAAAACTGAATCAAGTGAAAAACAGAGCTTAATTTTAGACTATAGAATCATATGAAAACACAGATTTCATAGATTTGTGTTTCCACAGTAATTAGTAATTGTAATAGAAAAAGTGATACTGGCTGGGTGTGGTGGCTCAAGCCTGTAATACCAGCACTTTGGGATGCCAAGCTGAGAGGATTGCCTGAGCTCAGGGGTTTGAGACCAGCCTGAGCAACTTGGTGAGACTTCGTTTCTATAATAAATAAATAAAAAATTAGCTGGGCATGGCAGCGCATGCCTGTAGTTCCAACTACTTGGAAGGCTGAGGCAGAAGGATCTCCTGAGCCCAGCAGGTCGTCACTGGGGTGACCGTGAATGTGCCATTGCACTCCAGCTTGGGCAACAGAGTGAGACTCCAACACAAAATAAAAAAAAGAAAAGAAAAAGTGATACTATTTTAAAGTAGAAAACAAACTATATGCAACAAATAAATTTTGTAAGGAATGTGTATGACGTGTCTCATTGGTTCTCAAGAAGGCACAACTAATCTATAAGGGTAGAAATGAGAATAATAGTTGTCTGTGCATTGGAGGAGGAGTAAAAAGTAAAGAACCAACTAGAAAAATATTTTTGAAAAATAATAGAGGAGGAAGAAAATATTTTTCCATATATATGTGTATATATAAATATATTTGGTTATTAAGAGAGAAAAAATTGAAAAAGAATCAAGGGTTACTAACCCTAATATACCGAAAACTTTAGTATATGATAAAGTATAAAAATCAGTTTGGGAAGCACACTAGGATAGTCAATTAAACTTTAGGGGAAAAAAAATGAGTATATTATCTTCACAAAACTCAGCTTTCTGACAGATTGAAAACTGAGATGTAACTCATGAACCCTTAAAACACATAAGTATTTGAGCACACATACAAAGAAATCCTTAGTTTTGGGAGTAGAGAGAAATTTTTGAGCTTAAAGTTATTAAAGAATGTATGTCTGTGTTTTTAACAAAAACAAAGATAGAGTAATGAAATATACCATTTTAAGCAAGATCTAAATGAAATAAAACATTTGAATCAGATAAAGGACTAATATCCCCACTTTATAAAGAACTCCTTGCAGTTAATAGGAAAGAAAAAAAACATCCAGTAAAATATGGATAAAGGATCTGAAAAGACAGTTCAAAGACATTTTAAAAATCAGATTTTGGGAAAGTACATTGTTATTCTTATTAAATACCTTTTACCAGCTTGTCCGTGTAAATGTCAATGATTAGAAAATTTTTCCAGTCAGAAATGGAATTACATTTTTAAGTAAAGCCCAGATTAATTACTTTTTATAATTACCCCCAATATAATTTGTTAAGTTCTTCTGTTTTATTTTAGCACTTCAGAATCCAGAAGTGGTGGCCCTTCGAGGTGGACTAAACACTATCTTGAAAAATGTGATTGACTGCCAATTAAGTCGAATAAATGAGGCCCTAATTACTACAATTTTGCACCTTCTTAATCATCCAAAGACCCGACAGTATGTGCGAGCTGATGTAGAATTAGAGGTAGGAACTTTAATGCATACTCCTTGATGTTTTAAATTTTAAAGCTGCAGTACAACATTAATTATCAAATCTAAATTAACCAAGACTAGTTTATTCCCAGCAATATTTTATAACTTATTAAGTTTGAATGGGATTGACAATATTATTCTTAAGAATATTTCATCACTGTGCAAAGTAACGCTTATTTTTGTATTATCTATGAAAAGTTTGCTAAGCAAATTAGAGTACAAATAAGGATACATAACATATTTTCTTATTTAAGAAATCCATTTGTTTTTAAGAACTTTAGTACATAAATTGTCTATGAATACCTCCTGCTAGTTGTTCACTTTATTTTTAAACCATGCTAAAGTTGTCTGAACTTGAAAGCAGTTTGTTAGGAATTAGTTCTGTCTACTGGAAAGAAAGTATATACATATTTTCAAAATATACATGTTTAATTTTTTTTTACTAATCCACATAGTGTTTATTATAGTTAGTTTAAAGTAATATTCTCTATAAGAAAGTATGTGGTGGCAGTTGGAACAGAATTACCATGCGCTGTATTCTTTTTTTTTTTTTTTTTTGAGTTGGAGTCTCACTCTGTCGCCCAGACTGGAGTGCAGTGGCTGCTTCCGGCCACTGCAGCCTCGACCTGCTGGGCTCCGGCGATCCTTCCGCCTCAGCCTTCCAAGTAGCTGGAACTATAGGCGTGAGCTACCACGCCCGGCTTATTTTTTAATTTATTGTAGAGATGTAGTCTTGCCAAGTTGCCCAGGCGGGTCTCGAACCCGTGGGCTCAGGCAATTCACTCACCTCAGCCTCCCAAAGGCGTGGAATTACAGGCTGAGCCACGAAGCCCGGCTCATGCACTGTATTCTTACCATTTATTTGTGTGATTGTATTACACTGTTGTCCCCTGAAGTAGTATTTGGCGTAAATTTAAATCAAGGATATGCTTGTATTTAGATATGAAGTTATATGCAAGGTATAAAAGATTTGTCTGCTAATTTGTTTTTCCAGAACATTTTATGAAACTTTTCTTAAATGTTCTGTTTTTATTAGGACTATTTTTTAAAATACTACAGATTATAAAATTGACATTAACCTATACATTAACAAATGTAAATATAGTAGTCTTATTAATAAACGACTTCACATGTTATTCATAAGAATTCTATGGTAATAAACTGGCATTGTAAATATTGTATAATATAATTAAGCTTTAAGTTTTTTCTTTACCAAGTAAAAAAATTGCAGCTGAAATCCTGGGTTGAAAGGATCCTCCCTCCTCAGGCTTCAGAGTAATTGGAACTACAGGCACGTACCACCATGCCTGGCTAATTTTTTTGTTTTTTTATAGAAACAAGGTCTTGTCATGTTGCCCAGTCTGGTCTTAAACTCCTGGGTTCAAGCAATCCTCCTGTTTCAGCCTCTCAAAGTGATGGGATCACAGTGTAAGCCACCATGCCTGACCTATTTTTTGTTGTTTAAAAAGAGACAGAGGCATAGTACGGTGGCTTACGCTTGTAATTCCAGTACTTGGGGACGCCAAGGTAGGAGAATTGCTTGAGGTCAGGAGTTCAACCAGCCTAGGCAATGTAGCAAGACTCTGTCTTTACAAAAAATAAATATAAATTAGCCAGATGCGGTGGTACAGGCCTGTAGTCAGAGCTACTCGGGAGACTGAGGCAGAAGGATCGATTGGACACAGGAATTTGAGGCTGTAGTAAGCTGTGATCATCCCACTGTACTCCATTGTGGGCCACAGAGTGAAACCATGTCTCAAAAAAGAGACAGGCAAAAAGAAAGAAAGGCTAAAGGGGAATACTTAGCTAAAAGGAAAATGATCTATGATAAACAGTGTAGAAAGGAATGGAAAGCACCAGAAAAGGTAATAGATGACTAAATATTTTTCAAAATGGCAGTTAAAAGCAATTATTATTAATCTCTTATACTTTAAATTATATTTAGAATTGAAATTCAGGTCCACAGTAATGTTGTAGGCAAACTGAGAGGGTTATTAATGAGATAAAGAGATTCTCAAGTAACCTATAATCCCAGCTACTTGGAAGACTAAGGCAGGACGCTCACATGAGCCCAGGAGTTTGAGGTTGCAGTGGGCTATGATTGTGCTACAGCTTAGGCAGTAGAGTGAGATCCCATCTCTTAAAATATTTTCTTTTCAATGAAAAAAATGACAAAATTCTAAAGTAATGAGTGAGTTTAGCAAGGTCGTTGAATGCAAGAGCAATATACAGAAATAACTTGGATTTTCTTTATGCCAGCAACTAAAAAAAGAATGTAATTTATAAAGTGAAACTGCTAAATAACTTTGAAAAAACAGGCAGAACTGATTCATAGTGGTAGAAGTCACAGTGGTTATCTTGAGATAGGTGTGATCATGACTACAAAGAGATATAGGGGTTTGAGAATACTGGTAATATTTTATCTTTTGTTTGTTACACGAATGTGCTTAGTTTGAGAAAATTCATCAAACTATACATTCATGATTTGTGCACTGTTTAGATATATGTTTTGCCTCTATTTAAACTTTAGTTGGTACATTTAAAAAAAAACTACCCAACATATTCCTTGATGGTGAGTTTGAAGAAATGAGTGTCTGAAGCAGTAAACCTAATGAAAGATAATTAATTTTAGCTTGTTAAAAGGAAGAATGCATTTTATAATAAAGACTTTTTTTTTTAATTAGCGAATTTTAGCACCCTATACTGATTTTCACTACAGACACAGTCCAGATACAGCTGAAGGACAGCTCAAGTAAGTACCATTGGTCCCTATTATTTTGGGAGGGTGGGGAGGAGGACTTGCATTTTAATATTAAGACTTTTAGACTTGCCTGCTTGCTTACATGTAGAGCCAGGGAAATGTGAGTTAAGTAAATGTCTTTCTTTTGGAATTATGTTGCATTTCTCTCATAATTTACTGTGTTTTAAGCAATTTAAAGCTTTGGAAAATTTAAAGATTATTTTTCTTAATTTAAAAAAATATGAGCTAGACTCCAGTAGAAACCTAGATCTTTGTTTTTCTATTTGTTTTTTAGCATAATTATGGTAAGAGACTAAAAGAATGAAACAGGGAATAGAATGAACAATTGCCTTTGCAAATTAAGTTAGCAGAATGATATAATATGTAGAATTTGGGGAATAAGTTTAATTGGAAGATGATTGTGGGTAGAGTACTGTTTTCTAGAAATAAGAAGGTATAGTCAGTCTTTTTGGAGAGAAAGGTTCACTAGGTATTCAGAGATAACTTTATAATTAAAGCGATTTAGAGATCAAATAATGCACTGAAGATTTTTGCAGATGGTGCAATTCCATTAAATATGCTATGAGGTATTTTTTCAGCAGAGTTGTTGGTTTGCAGATATACTTATTGTGACAGATAGTATATATTTTAAAATCCCTTACTAAGTTTTGGAACATTGTCAAGCAGGGAAATGTTTTTATTGTTTTTCATTTTTCTCCAGTTATATCTATCACTGTGAACTAATTATCATCCCTAATATACGTGACCCAAGCTAATAAATAAAAATAGATGTCTTCTGTTTAAGACTTCTCAAAATTATTTCTGCTTGCTTTAGTCATGAGTTGGAATTCTTAAGCCCGTTTCTTGGCTTCTTATGAAATATGAAATTCTCTTTATTAATGTTGAGTATATGAGTTTTCTGTTGCTCAACAATTAGCTACAAACAATAGTGCTCAAAACAACACCCGTTCATTAGCTCACAGTCTGGTAGGTCAGAAGTCTGTCTCAGCTCGCTAGGAGGCTCTGGTGAATAATCTGCTAAACTCATTAGGGTTGACAAAATTCAGTTTCTTACTGTGTACAACTTGATGTCCCTTTTTCCTTACCGGCTGTCAGCTGGGGCCTATTTTCACCTTCTAGAAGCTTTCACATTTCTTGGCACATGTCCTCCTCTCTCTGCAAAGCCAACAATCCTTGTAGAGCTTTGAATCTCTGACTCTGACTTTCTCTTTTGCCACCAGCTAGAGAAAGCTCTCTAATTAGATTGGAAGCCTGCTATGTGATCCTCCCATCTTACGCTCTACTAGACCATATAACATAATCGTAGTCACAGTCATGCAGTGATAGCTCATATTCACAGAATCCAGAGAGCAGGGAATCTTGGGGCAGAGCCAGTTTTAGAATTCTGCATACCATGATAAACCAAGAGATGAACCCAGATAATGTTTAGAGTTGGAGGGGATGGGGATATTCCACCAAAATTCTTTCTTTCCTGTTTGGTTCTGTATTCTATTTAAGTTTCTGAAGTATGAGCAGATAGATGGGAGGCTTATAAATGAGGGTACATTTGGAACAGGGAAATGGGTGATCAAAAAAATATTGTAAGTTTAACAAATAGGTTAGAAACGTGTTACCAGGCAATCAATATGTCACCAATAGTTTTTAAAAGAAGGAGCATTGTCTGATTTTCCCTTCTTCTACCCCCTCCACTGTATTTTCTGTTATATTATCATTTTGATTGGTGTTACAGAACTTAGTCTTTTTCTTTGAACTTTTCATTCCTTTTTTGTAGTCTGTCTGATTGCTCACTACCATCTGATTTGATTTTCTGTCATTGCTCTTTATTTCTTCTACTCTTGTTGTTGTTGTTGTTGTTCCCAGTTCTCTGAATTTCTCTATGCTCACAACCATTAGGAATTTAACGAGGAAAGAAAAAAAGATGGCACAGGAAAAAAATGAACAGTCAACAAAAGAACAGATGGTGGTGGGGTAGCATAAATAAATAGTTACAAGATTGCTTTTAAGTATTGAACCTGGCTTTAAGTCAACCATAAAAAATGCTTAACAAATATAAATAGTTGTATTGCTTAACTGTCATAACTATATAGAAAGGGACAATCAAACATTTGGATATATAATTGGCAAGGAAGAAAGTAGGTGGCTGTGTTAATGTGTAGTTATTGAATGACATTTCAGTGACTATATAGGATGTTAAACTTGGTGGAAATACTCAAAAAGGTTCAGAGCAAGGATTTTGAAGTAAAGAGAGTACCTGTGGTAAAATTAAGAGGTTTATGTGGTAATTTTCTTTGCTAAGGGACAGTCTTGTGCCACGATGTTTATTAAGTAGACTTACTAATGGTTAATTAAAGCTCATCTAAGGATAGTATTCAGAAAGAGCCGAGAACATGGAACTGAATAGAAAAGCAAATTTTTAACTTATTTTAAACGTACTGTGAATTTTAAATTGGAGGTCAGTTTATAGTTGGGTAATTTGCTTTGGGGTAGATCTGGTCCTTGTTTTTTCTTTTTAGCATCTTGTTTTAATTTAACGTCTAACTATTTAAACATTAACTAATGATAGCCTTCATTATAATATGGTAGCAGGAAAAACTTAATTTTAACATTTTATTTCTTTGATCCTCCCTCCCTTCCCAAAAGAGAAGACAGAGAAGCACGGTTTCTAGCCAGTAAAATGGGAATCATAGCAACATTCCGGTCATGGGCAGGTAGGTTACATTTCTTTATAACATCTGAGATGAAAAACTTGACGTTTTTTCAAATGTTAAATGATTATTGCAGCATCTAATTTAGATGTCAGTCTAGTCTTACTTCATATGTTATTATTAGAACCAAAGGAATTTGTACAAAACTATTAAAATATAATGGAGAAAATTTGTAATAGTCAATAGTAGACAACTAGTATTAAAGTTCGTTACTTAAAAGTGTAGTGTAGTAATGTCATAAATAATAAATAAGCAAGATAGGCCATTACTAGGCCCTCATTTCTTGAGAATAGGGATTTTGTCTTTTCATGAAAATAAAAAGCAAATATTGTTCTTAAAATAATACCACACTAAATGTGTTATTTTATATTAATGATTACCTTCTTCCTTGACTTTGTAGAATAATTGTGAAGGAACAGCACAGAAAGGAACGTAGCAATAAGCAGAATAAGGAAACTTACCTAAACATTTCTGTGTACCTGGGTTACCCTAACTTTCAAATACTGTTTCCATACAAATGTTTACTCCTGCCATAGACTTGGCCCCTACCCAGGGTATACAGGGCCATCCTCTAAGCCAATGGTCCCCAACTTTTTGGCATCAGGGACCAGTTTTGTGGAAGACAATTTTTCCATGGACTGGGGTGAGGGCAGGGGGATGGTTTTGAGATGATTCAAGTGCGTAACATTTATTATACACTTTACTTCTCTTATTATTACATTGTAATATATAATGAAATAATTATACAACTCACCATAGAAAAAAAAGAAGTGCAGGCAGAGTGGTAAATAAAATAATTGGTGGGCCTCTAGCTGACTAAAATACGTGATTTTGACTTAAGCCTGCCACCAGATGGAGCTGTACAACTGAAGTTCATCAACTCACTTGCCACTCATTACTAGAGTTTTGATATGTGTCTGTAAGCAGTTGATTTATTATGGTCTCTGTGCAGTCAAACCTCACTGCTAACGTTAATTTGCATTTGCAACTGCTCTCCGGCACTAGCATAACTGCCTCAGCTTCACCTCAGATCAAGTATTAGATTCTCATAAGAGGTGCCAACCTAGATCCCTTGCTTGCGCAGTTCTCAATAGGGTTTGCTCTCCTGTGAGAATCTAATGCTGCAGCTGATCTGTTGGAAGGTGGAGCTCAGACCTTAACGCGAGCAATGGGAAGCAGCTGTAAACATAGATGAAGCTTTGCATGCTCCCCTGCTGCTTACCTCCTGCTGTGTGACCTGGTTCCTAACAGGCCACAGACCAATATGAATCTGTGACCCAGAGACTGGCAGCCCCTACTCTAAGCACCTTGGTAAAACATCTGCCTTGCTATACCTCATTACTACCTGTTTTCCTTATGTTCATGGACAGCCACACATCTTTTTTTAATACTTCACCAGCCCCCCCCATACTCTTTCAACATAGAAACCAACTCAGTCTTCCTGCTAAACTGAACCATCACTGTCCTTACTCCAAGATTCAGTATAACTTTGTTTTCTGTAATTACAATCATCTTCCTTTATCATCTCTCAGCTTCCTTGTTATTAGAGCAGTGTCTATCTTACCAAAAAAAAAAGTAAGTCTGTCCTACTTTAACCATCATTACAGCTTAGCTACTATCCCCTCATTCTTCCTGTTCCAGATTCTGTTCTCCCTGTCACTGTATTTCTAATCTCTGCCAGTCTCTTTCCTTACTGCTCTTAAACATTCCTTCTTTTGTGCTTCAATTTCTCCTGGAGCCCTTATATACTGATCCGTTATTAGAAACTTAGAAGGTTGGGAGTCTTCTATTCTCCTATTGAAGTAAGAAGAGAAATATCAGCATTAGAAGTTAGAACTCTGAACTCATTTTTCTTACATCATTTTCTAAATAGTATTTAGATTCTGCTGCATTATATATAACATATATAAATTTGGGTATTTGTAATATTATTTCTGTGATATAATGTATTTCAGATTTCAAATAACTGATTGACAAATGACTTTTTAGAACACAGTTTCTTCATGAATTGCAACAGCCTGTTTTCTGTATTAGTAGAGTACGATCTATAGACTATATCTTAATCTACAATATCTCAAACTTCTATCAAACATCAAAATTTGAGAAAAACGATTTTGATAATTTGAACAAATCTACTTACTATATTTTAATTTAAATTTTGATCCTAAATAAAAGAGAACATATAGACTATTTATAAATATATGTGCTTAGCTAGAAGTAACAGAGAACTTGAGTTCTATATCACTTTTGCAAAATGTTTTTTCTAACATTTTATGAAAAATTTGAAACATACAAAAAAATTGAAAACATTTGTACGATGGACACCTGTATGCTTCTGCCACCTAAATTTTACAGTATTTTCTTTATTAAATATCTGTTCAACTGTTTATTCCTCTGTGCATTCACGATTCCCTCTATATGTCTCAAAGATGTGGCAGACACTAGTTCTCTTCACTCCTGAACACTTCAGCATGCATATTGTTAATTAGAATTTGATACTTGTTTGTGGTCCAGCTTTGATTGTTTTGAGGGAGAAGTTTGAGGTAAAATAGATATAGTGAAATGCACAAATCTTCAGTCTACCATTTGATGTATTTTGATAAATGCTTACGCCTGTGTTATTCAAACTTTTTGCAATATATAGAACATTATTGGAGCCCCAGAAAATTCTCTTCTAATCCTTTCAAGTTAATTTCTGACTCCACATTCCTAAGAAGCAACCACTATTTGATTAATTTTATCATGGATTAGTTTTGCCAGTCCTGAAGCTTCATATTTGTGGAACCATACTGTATGTACACTTTTCTGTAAGACTTCTTTCACTTAGTGATTTTGAGATTTCACCTATGTTGTTTATATAAGTAATGTATTCTGTTTTATTGATGAGCAGTATTTCATTGAATGAATATTTCATAGGGTTTTTTTTTTTAATTCTTCCTCCCATTTGGTGAACATTTGACCTTTTCCAGTTTTGGCTATACTAAATAAAGCTCCTGTGAGCAGTCTTATACAAGCCTTTCTGTGGACATTAGCTTTCATTTCTTTGGGTTAATACCTAAGTGGAGTTACTGGGTCATTGGGTAGAGTTTTGTTTAGTTTAGATTCATAAGAAACTGTCAGACTTTTTTCCAAGATACTTAGACTATTTTATACTCCTGTTATCAATGCGTGTGAATTGTAGTTGTTCTGCATCCTTGCCAGCATTTGGTTCTGTGAATCTTTAATTTTAACCATTCGAGTAAGTATGTAATATTCTGTTATTAATGTGGTTTGCATTTTCCCGATAAATAATGATACTGGGCACTTTGTGTGTGTTTATTGGCTATTCACATATCTTCTTTTGTGACAGGATTTTAATGTGGTTTGACTTAGTTCTATAACTTAAAAATTTTGAAGCATATAATTTATTTGAAGTCTATTGCTCATACTCATCTGTACATTCAATGAATTTTGGAATTGAACTTTTAAAAGACAAATGCCAAGCAAAGAGCATTAAAGAAGAGAGATAGACCCTTGCCTAGTTCTCTTCCGTGTTCTTACTCCCAGAGAAGCATTCATCAGCCAACAAGGAGTCAGGCTATTGGACTTGTGAACTTTTTGGATATGAAACAAAATAAAGAATGAATTTAAATGATGAAATTATTAATAATCTCTAATCAATAGGGAAATACAGAGAATGCTTGAAATATATTTCACTTTTATAATATCACTTATGATAACCAAATAGAAAAATAATATAATTTGGCTTAGAAAAAATATTAGATTTTGTAGTATACATTGCTATAGAAATATTTTTGAATTCATGTCAGGGTTGTTTTTTCTTTTTATACTCATTAGGTATTATTAATTTGTGTAAACCTGGAAACTCTGGGATCCAGTCTCTCATTGGAGTACTTTGCATACCAAATATGGAAATAAGGGTAGGTAAAAGTTATTACGATTGTTTCATTCTTGGATGTTTAAGAGTGGGAATTAATTGTGTAAAAAGAAAGTTATTAAGTTATCTTAGGTGATGCTTTTTCCATGTTAGTTGTTAATCTGTATCATAGAGCATTTTTAAAGTACATTAGTAAATATTTACTACTTAGAAAAACCTAAAGATAATAGGAATCATTGAAAATACTACTGTTGTTAGAAACAATAGTTGAGTTGAAAATATGACCTTAATTATGCTGTATTCGTGAAAACAATGCAAATACAGAAGGGCAACTCACTGTAAAAGATTTGGGCAATTCAGAAGTACATTTAGCAAAAAGTAGATGTATTTAGGCATCTATGATTCTAACTTACATTTTAAAAATATGAGTTTTTTTAAGATGTATTTATAATTTATTAATATTTTTATGTTTGTTAGTATTTCTGGATTATTGATATGTAAGAATTTGTATTATACAACTAAAACAAATTGAATTTGAAGGAAAAAAGAATTAGTTATTCAAGTAATTTATTGAACAAATTAAGTGATATGTGTAGTAAGTATTCAGTAGTTATCCCATCTCTAATATAGACCTAATCCAGTCGTTTTAAAAAATATTGTTTAGTCATACATCAATTAATGGCAGATGTGTTCTAAGAAATTCATCACTAAGTAAGTGATTTCATTGTCTTATGAAAGTTCATCACATCCTAGAATGAACTTACACAAACCTGGATAGTATAGCTTACCACCTAGGATATATGTTGTCGCCTCTTGCTTCTAGGCTACAAACCTATATAACATATTACCATGCTGAATACTGTAGGCACTTTAACACAATGGTATTTGTGTATTTAAGCATTGAAAAGGTGCAGTAAAGATACAGTGCAAAAGATAAAAAAAAAAATGCAATACCTGAATAGAGTACTTACCATGCATGGAGCTTGCAGGACTAGAAGTTGCTCTGTGTGAGACAGTGAGTGAGTGGTGCGTGAATGTGAAGGGCCAGGGCATTACTGAACACTGCTATGGACTTTATAAACACTATACATTTAGGCTGTGGTAATTGTATTAAAACCTGTTTTCTTCTGTAGTAAATTAGCCTTAGCTTATTGTAACTATTTAACTTTATAAGTTAATTTTTTAAAAACTTTTTGTCTTTTGTAATAATGCTTGGCTTAAAACACAGACACATTGTACAGCTGTATAAAAATATTTTTTCTTTATATTCTTGTTCTATAGGATTTTTCTTTCTAAAAAATTTTTATTTTAATTACTTTTTAAATGTTTTAAATTAAAAGCTAAGACTCAGACACTCACATTAGCTCAGGCATACATAGGGTCAGATCCTCAGTATTACTGTCTTTCACCTACACATCTCATTCCACTGGAAGGTCTTCAGGGCAGTAACGTGCATGCAGCTGTCACCTCCTATGGAAACAACATCTTCTTCTGGAATGCTTCCTAAGGGATCTACTTGAAACTGTTTTACAGTTACCTTTTTTTTTTTTGATGACACGGTCTTGCTTGTTGTCTAACCTGGAGTGCAGGCATGAGCCACCATGCCCGGGCAACTTTTTAAAAGTAGAAGTAGCACAATCTGAAATAATGATGAATGGTATGGTAACATAATCATTTATTATCATTGCCAAGTATTGTGTACTATTCATCATTTTATGTGCTTTACTTTTATATGACTGACAGTGCAGTAGTTTTATTTATACCAGCATCACTACAAACAAGTAATACTTTGTGCTTCCATGCTATAACTGCAATGCTACATCATCACTAGGTGAAGGCATTTCTCAACTCTGTTATCTTATGGGGCCACTGTCATGTATGAGGTCTGACAGTTAAGCTCACGAACTCATCCTAGAAAAAGTGCTACATACCTAATTGCTGTATATCACTATGGTCACCTTCGAAGTATTTCCCTTGGGAAGCTATACACCGATGCCAGTGCCAAGTCCACCTGTCAAAGCAATTTGGAAATTCTTTTTATGGAATGGCCATCAGAGCTATCATCATATTACCCTTGATATCCTGAATGTCATCAAAATGTCTTCCTTTCAGTATTTCCTTTATCTTCAGGCAAAAAAAATGTCATTGAGGGTCAGATCAAGTGAGTAGGAAGGGCGTTCCAAATCAGTTATTTGTTTTTAGCTAAAAACTCCCTCATACACAGGGCTGTGTGAGCTGGTGCACTGTCATGATGCAAGAGCTCTCTCGGGACTATTTTGGCACACACCTTTCTTATGCCAAGATTTTCAGTTAGACTTTCGTAACTGTTTCTCTGTTGATGTTTATTTGGTCTGCTATGATGCACAATTCGATGAATTTTTGTAACGTTTTTGTCAGTTCTGCTTGTTGCTGGCCATCCTGATCTCTCTTCATTAGTGACGTTTTCTCCCCTCAGAAAAGTGTTTAACCCATTTTTACACTGCTTCATGACATTTTACCCATAAAATTGGACTAACATGTGCCTGATTTCACTTCCATTCTTGCCAATTTAACAAGAAATTTAATGTTTGTTCATTGCTCTAATTCAAGCTCCAGCATTCTCGTGATGGCACACAAAAACATGCTAAAACAATAATGAATGACACTCAGCAAGACACTGCCACATATTGACATGCACACAGCTGTGAGACACTGATATACCAAGGTTATGAAACCTTACTGAGTTGTCTAGTGCTACCAACATAACCACATGGTGGCAAGTTCACGATCTTAATTGTCAGACCCTGTATGTGGTGTATTATTTGACTAAAATGTCACTATGCAGTACATGACTATAGCTCTGTTTTTGTCACTTAGAAAATTCTGTGACTAGGACACTTTAAAAATCTTTGATTTAAATAAATATTTAATTCATAAAAATAAATGAACTATATTTGCTATTTTAGCGAGGTCTACTTGAAGTGCTTTATGATATCTTTCGTCTTCCTCTACCTGTTGTGACTGACGAGTTCATAGAGGCACTACTCAGTGTAGGTAAGTATTGAAGTGCATTTGTATTTATTCATATATTGTAATTTTTAAGTGACTTATCTAATGGAGACAAAATTCCTAAAAGGAGAAATACTAAACTAAATATTGAACATCATTTTTTTCTTAGTGTATCATCATGACAGGAAATTAATATAAAAATAAAACGTCAGATAAATTTCTAAGACTGAAAAGTTTTAATTTTTTTTGTATCACCCTAGCTCTTACAAAGAGCAATGAAATTAATAGGAAGATAGGCCAACAAGAAAAGAGAGGAGACTGTACGAAACCTGTGTAATTCTCAGATTATTGAATTTTCAGTTTATTTTAGCCAGATGACTCCTAAATCCTAAAATGAAGGTAAAACTGTGTACATTTACGTAATTATTGTGAATATCTTTTTGGGTATATGGTTTTTAACCATTTAAAAAATTTCTTTATAACCTGGCTAGCTAATGATTCTTCATTTACCCAGAATGTTGCATTTCTGTCTAATCTTCTTTACACTACATAATTTTAACTATTTTAGATCCAGGGAGGTTCCAAGACACTTGGAGGCTTTCCGATGGCTTTGTAGCTGCTGAAGCAAAAACTATTCTTCCTCATCGAGCCAGATCCAGGTAGAATTTAAATATAAAAATGGTTCAAGTTTCTTACAATTACTATTTTCATGTTAGACTGTATAACATATGAAGCACTGCTTAAATTGTTCTGTGCTGTGTTTATTTCCAGGCCTGACCTCATGGATAATTATTTGGCACTGATACTCTCTGCTTTTATTCGTAATGGGCTTTTAGAGGTAAAACTTATAAACCTTATTGTATTCCGTTTTGTTTTTCTTTAACAAAAGTCTTTTAGAACAAAAATGTGCTTATATATTATTTTGCAACAATAATATTTTGTTTTTATTTTCAAAGGGTCTGGTTGAAGTGATAACAAACAGTGATGACCATATATCAGTTAGAGCTACCATTCTTTTAGGAGAGCTTTTACATATGGTAAGTTTAGCAACTTCTGATTATATGTTTCATAACTTCAATGTTTGAATTTATAAAGCAGGTTATTATAGTAGTGTTGCTTTGTATTATCTCAAAAAATAATTTTGCATTTTCTATGAATGTTTATCTTTACATTACAAAAAGTCTTTGGTACCTATATCCTGATATCTATATGTAGATATTGATACATAGATAAAACCAACTGAGGTAGCTATATCTATCAATACATAGATATCTATGTAGATACATGTAGCACATACAAAATATTGAGTGTTATTTTTCACACTCGTTTTTGATGTTGATATTTTAATCATATAAATCTTAATTGATCTCACAAAGACTTACTACCTAAAAAGCAAGAAATTACAAAACTATAAATGCTACTTCAGTTTGCTAAGAATGGGAATAATACAAGGTAGTTAGCTTGAATTTTAGAAAGCTTTGTGCAAAAATTGTAGGTTGTCTTGTTGTCATAGTATTCTCTATAAACTTGTAGTTTGAGGTTCAGAGGGTGGGATTTTTTTTTTTCCCACCATGATTTTTTGACAGTAACTAGTAACTTTTGGGGAACTAGAAGCTAGGAAAGTGATCTGACCATTCTTTAATCCCAGCATATCAGTTGGGGAGAGTGCTGAAATTTTTAAGATAGAAATTCATGTTTCTAGGTCACCTACAAGTTAGTAAAATATGGAATAAGAAGAATCATTTTAAACTCATTAAAGAATAAATGACCCTTTGGCAAATCTTTTTAAGTTATGTTATGGTTTGCTATTATTAGCAGGTTTGTTTTGGTTTTGCTTTTTCTATTTCATATTCTCTCCCTTCCTCCCCTTCGCTACTCCTCCCCACATAGTAGCTGTGCTGTATGAATGAGGTAAAGAGCATTTAAACAGCCTTTAATGTTAATTGTCTTTTTAATCAGGGGATTATTTCACCACTTGCTCTGTTGTCTGCTCGTCTATGAAAGAATTAAGTAGTGTTGTAGGCTTTTAGCTCTGATTATTTGTATTTTAATTCTTAAGACACCATTTCCTATAATAGTACCAATATCCAGAATTATTTGCCTTTATATGAAGGAATCTCTTATAAATATCATCTTTTCTCTTTCCCTCCATATACCAGAATTTCTTAATTATTTTGAAATATAAAAACTGTACGTTATGAGTATAGCAGTATTAGATCGTTGCTTATTATTCTTACACGTTTAATTAATTTACTTATCTTCATTGGTAGAAAGCTGGTTGGGTGGTAAGATTTTGTTTGAAAAGCAAGAGTTAATAAGTTTCTTATTTGAAAGATTATGGTATATGAAACCAGCCTATCTTGAGAAGGTGATTTTTAAAACTTAAGAAGTCAACTTAAAAGTATTAATGTTGCATCTAACATTTTAAATGTCATTTTGAGCGTATGTTAGTTTCAGTCCTGTAATGTTTTGACATATAATCCTTTTTGGTTACTTAAGAATTGAAGTTTAGGCCAGTCTTGGTGGTTCGGCCTCTAATCCCAGCACTTTGGGAGGCCAAGGCGAGTGGATTGCCTGAGCCTGCGGGTCTGAGACCCCCCCTGGGCATCTTGGTGAGACCTCGTCTCTACAATAAAAATAAACAAATAAATAAATTAGCTGGGCGTGGTAACGTGCACCTGTAGTTTCAGTTACTTGGAAGACTGAGGTGGAGTGATCGCCGGAGCCCTGTAAGTCGAGGCTGCAGTGACTGGGAGCATGCCACTGCACTCCAGTCTGGGCAGCAGAGTGAGACTCCAACTCAAAAAAAAAAAATTGAGTTTAATTAGGTACCACTTTAAAGTCATACTTTAATATCATAATAAATGTATGAAAATTACTGGTTTTATTAATATATTGTGTGTATTTTTTTTGAGACAGGGTTCTGGGTCTCACTGTCACCCAGGATGGAATACAGTGGCACAATCACAGCTTACCACAGTCTCGAACTCCTGGGCTCAGGCAATCTGTCCTTCTTAGCTTCCCAAGTAGCTGACACTACAGGCTTGTGCCACCATGCCTGGCTACTTTTTAAAATTTTTTTATAGAGATAAGGCTCTCAATATGCTGCCTAGGCTTATCTTGAACTCTTAGGTTCAAGTAGTCTTCCCATCTTGGCCTCCCAAAGTGCTGGGATTACAGGCATGAGCCACCACTCTCGGCTAATATGTGTATCTTTATATTTTATCCTTGTTGAAAGCAGGTAAGACACAAATTATAAGTACGTAGGTATTTGGAAAAATAAATAATTAAGTTAATTTTATGAGTATGTCTTGAATATAGCTTTATATTTGGAGATAATCTATAACATGAAATACTTCTATTTCTTAAAAACTCATATAAAATGTTGTTTCATTTTAGGCAAACACAATTCTCCCTCACTCACATAGCCATCATTTGCACTGCTTGCCAACCCTAATGAATATGGCTGCATCCTTTGATATCCCCAAGGAGAAGAGATTGTAAGTATCAGAGCTTTAGCAAAGCTGTGCTTGGTGTAATTAATATCCACTTAGAGTATATTGTTTTCTTTTTTAAAAAAGTAGGATAGATAGGCTGTGCTTGGAAATTATTTGAGGAAATTTCCTGGAGGAAAAATTATTAGTCCTAAAGATATTTAATAATTTGGGTTTTTTTAGACTGAGTGAAGTAAGATCTTTTTTTTTTTTTGCATGTTTCTAGACAAGGACATAGACTTGCTAGCACATTGCTAAAAATTTTGGTTGAGAGTTTTTCAGGCAATTTTGAGCAGCAATTTAGGCTCATTTTTTAAAAAACTGACTATGAATTATTTTAGACTAACAAAGCACAAAGACTTCCAATACACTCTTCTTTATGTGTGATTAAAAATGGTGGAATTTGGTAATTCGTACTACAGGCCTGTATAGCAATAAGCTGAACTCTTAATACTGAAGGAGATACGGCAAACAGAGTTTAACACAAAAGTATAGCAATACACTGCAGCTCTGCTGGAATTGCAGTGCTAATAATAAAATGTAATATGTAAAAGGCAGGGATGGAGGAGCTCAATTGGAAAATGCAAGTGGGAATTTTTTTTTTAATTTGGTGAAGATTATATCTAGGCCAGTAATGTCTTTTGTTGCTTTATTTTTTTTGCTTGATGTTAGTGAAATGCAGTTCTTAAGCAATTCAAAACTTAGAATTTTTGTTAACAGTTATAACACATTTTGAAAAGTCTAGTTAGCTTTAGTAATACAAAAGTACAAATAATCTATTAATTTTAATTCTGTCAATTGAAACACCACTGTTTAACAGACTGAAGTTGTATTGTAAACTGAGGGCATTAGGGACCATCTCAGTCCTGTCTATAGGCTTTCAGTTTGCATGTTAGTAGTTTCATGATAGAAAAATGTACTTTCCCAATACCTGGTAGACCTTAATTCTGGGTCAGATTATGGCCACAAATTTCAGGACTCATCAAGAATTTAGATTTAGATTTTAGTAATAATAGTTGTCTTAGAATAGTTTTTTTCTTTAGTTCAGTAAGCTCTCTTTACTGATAGAGTAAATACTTGTCAATCAGCACAAAATTTTAAAATTCTGTTTACTAGAAGTTCTGAAGGTGAGACTTGCTACCAAATTATTAAAAGCCATACTTTTACATACCACAAACAAGGAATTAACCATAATTTTTTAAAAGTTATCATTTATAGTTATACATCAGTACAGAAAATGTAAACTATTCAATTGATATTAGAATCATTGATTATCCTTATGGGAGGACAGTGAAATTATTTCAGCCTCATACCATAAACAAAAATAAGTTTCATGTGGATTAAGAACTTACATGTGGAAAGGCAAAGCTTTAAAAATTTTATAAGAACATATAAAAAACTAGGTTTCTGACCTTGTAGAAGGAGTTCTAAAACCAATATACAAAAAGTACCCTCTACCATAGAAGGAAAAATTAGTAAGTACATATTCACTTGAGTCTAAATATTCAATGTTTCTTTATATAATTCAGCAGTGTTGTTGATTTTTTTTTAACTTTGTGTTTCCAAATTTGACTAAATCCCTTTTTTAGTAATAATCTCTAGCCTTGAATTATATAAGCTTTACTAATTTACCAAAGTAATCTTTTAAAAATTATACTAGTCTTGCTACTGTATTAATCAAAATTTTTTTCTCATTAGGCGAGCCAGTGCAGCCTTGAACTGTTTAAAACGCTTCCATGAAATGAAGAAACGAGGACCTAAGCCTTATAGCCTTCACTTAGACCACATTATTCAAAAAGCTATTGCAACACACCAGAAACGGGATCAATATCTTCGAGTTCAGAAAGATATATTTGTTCTTAAGGTACTAACATGAAATCATAATTTTTAACTTAAAGTTTCTTAATTTTTTAACCACTGGATTTTAGTATGCATATATTTGAGTTTGCCATTTTATTCATGAATACGAATTTTCAAATGGCTTTTGAGTTTTATAATGGCTAGGCAATTCAGAGCTAGGTTTCTATAACTTTGTAAAGTTAAAAACAAAAACCTTGATTTATCCTTAAGTGAAAAATCTTTCTTTCAATTTTTGAAACTTGAACTTAGTTTTCTGATGTAAAGACAGTTTGCCTCGATTTTTCTGATTACTTTCTGATTACTTTAGGATACAGAAGAAGCTCTTCTAATGAACCTTAGGGACAGCCAAGTCCTTCAACATAAAGAGAATCTTGAATGGAATTGGAATCTTATAGGGACCATTCTTAAGGTATGACAAGATACTTCAATGTGATGGCTTGATAGTCTTCATTTTATTATTAAATGTGATTTATTATAATTATGTGTTTGTAAATTGATAAATACATATGTAATATAACATTATATTTTTCTAGTGGCCAAATGTAAATCTAAGAAACTATAAAGATGAACAGTTGCACAGGTATGTAACAACTGTTTTGCACTTCAGTTTAAAGAGCTTATATTTGGATGATATTATGCCTAATGCCTGTTAAAAGTAATAATTAGTGTTTTAAAGATATGTACATAAATTTTAAGAATTAATTAGTCTTCAATAGATACTTATGTATATTTTTATATGTAGACTTATTTTATAACCAAAACGCATCAGCTAATTTTTTTTTTTTTTTAGTTATTTACATTCTACTTTTAGTTATGGAACAGATGGAATAGTTGAGATAAAACTTTCTCAAATTGGGATTATATCAACTGTAGAGTGGTCTCAGCCCTACACAAGGATGACATAATAAGGACATATTTTTTTTTAAAGCAGGATTTATTGAGAGGACAGGAAAGCCCCCACAGTGGGAAGGGACCTGAAGGGGTTGCCCAGGACGTATATTTTTAATACATAACTTCTATTTCTACTTGTGTCTGACTTTGGAGAGTTACTTATTTTTCCTCTACTTTGTCTTCTATAGCACATGAAAATGTTCACAGCATATAGAACACTTTTAGCTACTGTACTGTTTTCTAGTATACCATACATTTTTACTCCTTCTGAGCTTAGACTATCAGTACTGATCTCATTGGATAAGAGGATCTTACTTTACGTTTGAGAAGTTTATGTCATTAATGTGATCATTTGATTACTTTAATCAGCTTGTGATATGTAACTTAATATTTATATTAAGTTTTAAGAAATACCCAGAACATATAAATTACACTGAAATAAAAAAGCATAGTACTAACTTTTCATACTCCTTGAGAACAGAGATGATGTTTATTTGACTTTGTTTCCGTGACTCTCAGACTTGACACTTTTATTGGATAGAATTATAGTATACAAATTAGAATTTAACTTAATTAAAATTGAAACTTAGAACATAATGTTGAAAGTTATAACACTGAGATAGCACAAATTGTGTCTATAAATTCAGTCACCTAAATTATAATTTTTATGCTTGCCCTTTTGCTGAATTGTGACAACCAGACAAAATCAGGGTTATTTTATAGAACCATAGGACAAAGTTCTTCTTTAAATATAGTAGAAGAAATTTTACGTCCAGGTGGCTTCCTCATATTTATCCATTTGTGTATTCTGGCTGTGTAAAATCCACATTTTTTTCTGCTAGTACATTTCTTCACTTTTGCTTATTTCAAGTATCTCACTATAAAGTTTTATTACACAGAGATATTCTTTACAGTGAGGGTTTTTATTTTTAACTTTTTTGGCTTTAAAACAATATATACCAATGTGTTTATTAAATTTTTTGTCATTTATCCCAGTGGTTCCGACCCAAAACATATTCTCAAAACTTTATTATGTCGTAAACAATGGTTAAGATTCTAAAATAATTGTTTAATTTCTTACCTTGTTGCTAATTTTGTTTTGATATTAGGTTTGTACGAAGACTACTTTATTTTTATAAGCCCAGCAGTAAATTATATGCCAACCTGGATCTGGATTTTGCCAAGTCCAAGCAGCTCACAGTTGTGGGTTGCCAGTTTACAGAATTTCTTCTTGAGTCTGAAGAAGTAAGCACTCTGAATATTTTTAGAGCAATTTTTATTTATTGAATTGCCCCCTTCCCCTCCTTCTGTTTCCATCTTTTTTTTTTTTTTTTTTTTTTTTGCTTATATTTCTGAATATGCATAGGGTATACTTAGAAACACAGATGAGCCCCAAACCTGAATTTGAATCCTGACTTAGTCACTAGTTATGTCTTTGGGCAAGTTGTCTTCCCTCTAGAAGACCCAGTGTACTTGTCTGTAAAATGGTGAATAAATACCATCTCCATGCACCATTGTCTGAACAGAATTTAGAAATAACATATACTCAGTAATTGGTAACTTAATTATGATGATGATGATGATGAAAATTTTTGTACTTGACTAAAGTTTATTTTTTAAATTATAAGCATTAATTGCTTTTCTCACAGTGTCACAACGTATTTGCTTTTAGGATGGGCAAGGATATTTAGAAGATTTAGTAAAGGATATTGTTCAGTGGCTCAATGCTTCATCTGGAATGAAACCTGAAAGAAGTCTTCAAAATAATGGTTTATTGACTACCCTTAGTCAACACTACTTTTTATTTATTGGAACACTTTCTTGCCACCCACATGGAGTCAAAATGCTGGAAAAATGCAGTGTATTTCAGTGGTGAGCATATTTAGATTCTCTTGCAATATATACATACACTTTTAATGTAGTCATATATGGTATGCTTTTTGGTTTGTGTGCATGTATTTAGTAAGTTTTATTTTAAAAAGATTAAATTAGAGTTGTCTCAATACTTAGATATATTTTATGTGATAATTATTAAACACTTTTTTTTCAAGAAATGCTTGTTTGTTTTAGGAATTTAAAAAAATATTTGTTGAATTGTCTTCTTGCTTTCTCCCCAACACACAAGTGACTGTGTGTGGTGATTGATATGTTAATTAATTTGATTATGGCAATCACTTTCACAATGTATATCAAATTCTCATGTTGTGTACTTTGAATATATATAATTTTTATTTGCCAATTATACCTAATTAAAACTGAAAAAATATTTGTTCAGTTAATTAATCAATACAGCAATTTCTAGTAACCTTTATTATTATTATTTTTTTAAAGTCTCCTTAATCTTTGCTCCTTGAAAAACCAAGATCACTTGCTGAAACTTACTGTTTCTAGCTTGGACTATAGCAGAGATGGACTGGCGAGAGTCATCCTTTCCAAAATTCTAACTGCAGCTACTGATGTGAGTACAATGTAGGCAGTAAAACTATATTTTTATAAATTTTGAATTTATACATTATAAATTTTGGGTACTAAGTTAAATTGATTATAAGTTCTAAGAATATGATATGAAAATTGAATTTACTTTAAAATTTTAGTTCCACCAAGGAACTCCATATAGTACCCATATTTTTATGTCAAGGGAAAGAAGCTGCTAGATAGAAAGGTAAATATTTTATTTGATGATCACTAAAAAAAGTATTTATATCAAGGGCTAAAACATCAATTCTAGTCTTTCTGTCCTTTTCAAGTAGCAAAACTGTCTCAAAATTAAATAGGCAATTCATAGTGAAGTTTTTTTTTTTTTTTTTAATGTATTCATTTATCTTTGTAGGCCTGCAGGCTGTATGCAACGAAACATTTAAGGGTATTATTGAGAGCTAATGTTGAATTCTTTAATAATTGGGGGATTGAGTTATTAGTGACCCAGCTGCATGATAAAAACAAAACAATCTCTTCTGAAGCTCTTGATATCCTCGATGAAGCATGTGAAGACAAGGTGAAGATTCTTCCTTTTTTTTTAATAATGAAAAACTTAGACATAAATTTTTATTGAAATATTCCATTTTAATCGACAATTAGTAAAAGTGTATATAGAGTCATTTTGGAAATAAAGAATTTACCATCTTAATGCAGTTGTTAATTTACCTAATGATCATCTCTTTTAGGCCAATCTTCATGCTCTTATTCAGATGAAGCCAGCTTTATCTCACCTGGGAGACAAGGGTTTACTTCTCCTCCTGAGGTAAATTTTAAATAAATTGTTTATATCCTTATATTTTTTGTTATGTTCTCTCTGACAGTATATATTAAACCTGGATTCAAATCTGAATGGTAAGTACTCTAAAGAGTTTAGCTTTTAACTCTTGAAATAAACCTACTTTAGAATCTTGAATATCCTTTAATAATGTTGAAACTCGTTTCATTGTTCTCTAAATTTATTTGTAATTGGAGTTATAATAAATTAGAGTGTACCTTTTTATTTCGAAGGGAGCTATTTCTAAAGTCTCTTAACTTTTTAAACTTTTTTTTAAAATTTGAGGTATTTTAGCTCCTTAAACACTTTTTGTTGAGTTCAGTGTTAAAACTCTTGCTTGTTTGAATTTACAGATTTCTCTCCATTCCCAAAGGGTTTTCCTATCTGAATGAAAGAGGTTATGTAGCAAAACAATTGGAAAAGTGGCACAAGGTAACTTCTTATTGAATCAGGCTTAATTTGTATGTTTCCATCTTGAGAATAGATTTGTGAATTTCAAAGATGACTTTTTATATTATCAGTGATTTGAAACTAATTAAGTTAACTATTTAAACATTCGTGTGAGGATAAATCCTAAATTCTGCATAATTACTCATATTTCTTTAGTTATATTTTTTAAAACTATGGTTATTTCTTTTATCGTGAACTGTTGACTTTATGTACATTCTCTTGAAATTTTGCTTTCAACTCGATTAACTTTATAATCTACTGGTATAATTTGTTGACCCTACTTGCCATCATTTTCTTTCTTCTTCGGTGCCTTATGTAGCCTACAACTTTGCACAAGTCCTTCTAAGCTAAAACTAAAATAATTTTTTTGAATGAAGAAGTTGAAAACAGTCCTACCCAAGCAGATGTAATTATCTAATTAAAGTTTATTTTAGAATGCTTCTTTACATAAATCTGAGATCAACCTTCTTATTGTCATAGGCTATAGGGAAATCTAGTAATACAGGAGTAGTTTGAAGGTATTAAACAACTATCTACCTTTTTTTAAAAGTTGGTTCAATGACTCAGCCTGTAGTCCCAGCACTTTGGGAGGCCAAGGCGAGTGAATTACCTGAGCCCGCGGGTTCGAGACCCGCCTGGGCAACTTGGCAAGACCTTGTCTCTACACTACATCAAATAAATTAGCTGGGCATGGTAGTGCGCGCCTGTAGTTCAGGCTACTTGGAAGTTGAGGCAGAAGGATCGCTGGAGCCCAGAAGGCTGAGGTTGACATGGCTGGGAATGTGTCACTGCACTCCAGTCTGGGCGACAGAGTGAGACTCCAACTCAAAAAAAAAAAAAGTTGATTACTGTGGCTTCTAAATTATCAAAGCATCTTGGAAACCCATGGTCAAAATGATCTCTACCAATGTAAATGATTTTTAGATTTTTAAAAGTCATTTCAGATTATTTATCATCTATTTCTTCTCCTTTGTTTATGTAGTAATAATTATTTATATTGTCTACATTGAATCATATTCTATAAGTGATTCTCAAAATGAACTAAAAGTTTGATGCATACAACTTAAGACATGAAGTCTTTTAATAATTGGCGAATTGCAGAACTGTGATAAGATATGATAGTTTGATTTCTCAGAAGATAATAAAATTTTCTTATTTTACACATCTTTTGTTTGTTTGTTTTGAGTAGAAATCTCACTCTGCCTCCCAGGCAGGAGTGCAGTGGCATGATCATGGCTCCACCACAGCCTCGAACTCCTGGGCTCAAACAATCCTTCCACCCTAGCCTCTCAAGTAGCTGGGACTACAGGTGCATGCTGCCATGCCCAGCTTATTATTTTTTTATTTTTGTAGAGATGAGGTCTTATTGCGTTGCCTCAGCTGATCTCACTCCTGGGCTCAAGTAATCCTCTTGCCTCGGCCTCCCAAAGTGCTGGGATTATAGGCACAAGCCACCGCACCAGGCTACAAATCATAATGTTAGAAAATTGCTTAGCGAATCTGGTGCAGTGCTTTCAAATAGTAAGTACTATGACAAAGGTGTATCCAAATGTGTAAAGGAACACAGAGTAGAGATTAATGATTCTGCCTTGGGGATTATAAAAATAAATTTTGGACAGGCACAACAGAGGATACAATATTTGGAGTGGTCTTGAGGAGTAAGTAGGCAAGTAAATTGGAAGAAGGTATTCAAAGAAGAGGGAACAGAATAAAGCTGTACGGGTGATTGAAACTTAGACTTGTGAGGAAGGCTGCAGTCTAATGTAGTTGGGACCAGGATACATGGGGAGTGGCAAGATGAGACTGAAATGTTGTTAAAGCTAGATTGCAAAAGACCTTGTAAGCCATGTTATATCATATAAAAGAATTTCAATTTATATGTAGTGGAAATTATTGCAAATGTAAAGAGTTATCACAGTCAGTGTGGTGCTTTAATACATGACAGATTACAGTGTAGAAGTGGAATTTTGATTGTCAATGGGAAAGTCTAGGAATACTGATACTAGTTTAGAAGCAAGAATTTATGAGGGCCTGAACTTCAGTGGTAGTGAGATTGGATAGGTAGGGACACATTTTCTGGACACTTCTGAAATAAGATGGACAGAATTTATGAGCCGATTGGTTATGAGTGGTGTAATTTGACTCATAAGATTTCTAATTTAATCACTGCATATATAATGAATCACCAGTAATAGATCGAGATTAATTACAAAAAGTTGTTTGTTAGGATAAGAAGGTTGAATTTTAATATGTTGAACTAGTGTTGCCTGTAGGATGTCCAAGTTATGGTATCTAGGAAATATTTGAAAATGGAGATCTGGAGTCCAGATATGTATGGAAAATGGCAAATTTTTATGTCATCAGCATATAGTAGTATTTAAAACCTGAGCAGAAAACCTATGGGTATGACAGAACATTTGTATCCATAATACCTTGCCCTACCCTTTACAAAAATTTCTTAGATTTCTTAAAGTGGTGTTTTTATTTTTCTTATATTTATGCTTTCAAAATTTGCTAAGTATCTGACATATAAATCTAGTGGTTGCCATTATGATACTATGTACAATGAAAACAATGTTACCTTTTAGGAATATAATTCAAAATATGTTGACTTGATTGAGGAACAACTTAATGAAGCACTTACTACTTATCGAAAACCTATTGATGGTGATAACTACGTTCGTCGGAGTAACCAAAGGTATAGTCCAGTTAATGGAACAGTTGCTGGTTCTCAAATATCACATTTAAAGCCAGTCTGTAATAAATTTATTTATTTATTTACATTTCTTAGGCACTTATATGTTCTGTTTCTTACACTGATAGGAGAAATTTAAATTCACAGCCTTGATTGCTCAACAATTCCCGTGGCATTCATAGCATGTTGAATATGTCACTGACGTAGCATTCAGACAGACTCCATGCTTTCACCTCAGTCTACTTTTCTAGTCCTAAATTCTCATCAGTACTTTGAGACCTGATAAACTTTTAACAGGCTGGATATCCCTTATCCAAAATGATTGAGTCCAGGAGTGTTTCGGATTTTGGATATTTTAGATTTTGGAATGTTTATATGTTCATGATGAGATATCTTGGGAATGAAACCCACATCTAAACATGAAATTCAGTTGTTTTATATACACCTATATACATAGACTAAACATAGTTTTATACAACATATTTGATAATTTTGTGCATGAAAAAGTTTGTCTTAAGTACCAATGTGTGGAATTTTTCACCTGTTATGTCATTGTTACTTTAAAAGTTTTGCATTTTTGAGCATTTTGGATTAGAGATGCTCAACCTGTATTTTTTTGAGAAACTTCTCATGCCTTTCCAGCTCTGTATTTATATGGATTTATACTGGGGGATTTTATCTAAGTTTATTTATCTAATGCATTATTAATACTTATTTGTTTATATTAGTATATTTAAGTGAGCCAGTGGGTATATTAATAATCTTTTTTATACTAGATTACAGCGTCCTCATGTCTACCTGCCAGTACACCTTTATGGACAACTAGTACACCACAAAACAGGTTGCCATTTGTTGGAAGTACAGGTAAAAACATAATTTGCTTATGTTAAATAGTTAAAAGAGTAAAAGCAAAATTTTTTTAATATTGATAAAATATTTTTTGCAAAAATTTGTCAAAAACCTTCAAGTCAGTGGCACAATTACTTCTATAGTCTCTATCTTGTAATTGGTTTGGGCATTTTGTTTGTTATCCTTAGAAATATTCATGGCCTTGCATGAATTTCCTAAGTTATGTGTGACCTTTTTGAATAACTAACTTATTATGTTGAGTAAGCATCCCGGTGCAGGTCTCAGTTCTTTTTTATAATTTATTGGAGAAATTCACATCTCCAAAAACATACTTTTAAAAACTGAGTTTCTTTCACTTATAGGGAAGTAAACTGAAGCTGAAACCAGGTTCAGTTTATCCGTGATTAGTAATAAATTGAAAGCTGCTGCTGGTGAGCACCTCCTTATTCTCGTATATGCTTCATGGAATATAACAGGCATGAACCTGTTAGTACAGTATGTACACTGCATTTATGGCTGGGAATGCATCTTACAACTAGGTGTTTTCAATAAATACAAACTTTCTCTTATTTTAGATATAAATAGTTGTAGAAATCTGTGTGTACAATTGTTGTCTAGCAGTTTAGTTCCTTTTAGCATGAGTATTCATCTCAGGAGCACAAAGTTTTGCATAAATATACTCTATAGTTTTGTGTGTTTTTATATTATGTCTGTAAAGACTATTGGGGCAGCTATTTTTATATTAATATTTGGAAATAAAGTCACTTAAAACATAAGCGATTTGCTCATTATCACTGTCTGCATAGTATGATAAAATGTGAACACCAATTTATTTTACACTTAAAAGAAATGATGGGCAAGGCATGGGAGCTCACACCTATACTCCTAGCACTTTGGGAGACCAAGGCAGGAGGACTGCTTGAGCCCAGGAGTTCGAGACCAGATGGGGCAATATAACAAGACCTCATCTCTACCAAAAAGAAAAATTAAGCAGGCCTAGTGGTGCATAACTGTATTCTCAGCTACTTGGGAGTCTAAGAAAGAGGAATTGCTTAAACCCAAAAGTTTAAGGCTGCAGTGAGCCATGATTGTGCCACTGCACTCCAGTCTGAATGACAGTGAGGTCTTGACTAAAAAATAAATAAAATAAATAATCATAATTTTGACTTTATAATACTAAGTGCCAGGTATACTTTCTTAATTAATTAGATATAATTACTTTATATCCAATAATTTATTAAATCTTGTGAGAGAGATGCTATTATTATCAGTATTCTAGAGATGAGGAAATCAAAGCATGGTGAGGTTAAGTAATTTGGCAACACAGCAAATAAGTGATAATATGAACTCAATATGAACTCAGAACCCATATACCAATGCTGTCTCTTAAGAAATTTTACTTGAAATTATTTTAGAATTTTAAACATGCAAACATGATTCTAAAAGCAAACTTTAGATAGGTTTTAGGATGCAATAAAAGTACATTAAAGGCATGATACTATTTTTATGGTATTTTTATTTCTTTCTCCAGAATATTATTACAGAACTCTGTCACAACGTTCGGACACCAGATTTGGATAAGTGGGAAGAAATTAAAAAACTGAAAGCATCTCTTTGGGCCTTGGTTTGTAATAAACACTTCTGTAAGATCTTTGCAATATTAGATTTTTAGATCTTTCCATTTTTTGTCTCTAATACTAAATAAAAAATTCTTTCCCCAGAACTTGTTCTTAGATTAATATTCTAGATGAGGATTATTCCTATCAACTTAAATATTTATCTTTATGTTGATAAATTTATGTTGATAAATATTATCTTTATGTTGATAAATAGATGGTCAAACTATTAGTTTTATAGCTTTTGTTTTAAGCTTGAACATTAATACCTAATGTTTTTTATTTGAGGGATTTTTTTTCACATATTTTTCTTTCTCATAAATGGGGTTAAATTTGTTTCTTGGGAGTTTTCCAGATCTCTTGAAAGAGCTACTCTGGGTGCATAAATGTAATTATGATTTTTCCCCCCCAGGGAAATATTGGCTCATCAAACTGGGGTCTCAATTTGCTGCAGGAAGAAAACGTGATTCCAGATATACTGAAACTTGCAAAACAGTGTGAGGTTCTTTCCATCAGAGGGTATGTCATTTAACTCAGAAAACTTTCTAATGTCTATAATTGTTATTCACAAATGGATGTGAGGGAAAAGTATTTTCTGTGTAGTCTATAAGTTAATTCACTGAAAGTCCTAATGATATAAGATTTTTAAATTAAGAATCTTAATGAACTCTTTGTTTACTGTTGTCATTCCATTTTTATTATAGTATCGAAGTTTATCTTGCAGGTGAACAGGGAAAACATACTGTGTGTACAAATATTCCAGTAGTCCAATAGCCCAGATATTTGAAATTATAATGGGAAAGCTAATATATGTATTTTTTGCTAAAATTACATTGTGTTCTTTTTATTTTGTTGTAATTAATATTTGTATTAGGAAGTTTGCATGGTTTTGTTGCTGCTAATTTATTTCTAACTAGTTTTAAAGCATTTTTATCCACAGCTAAGTAATTTTTAATGAGTTTTAAAGAAAATTCAAATGTACATGTAGCAGATTAATCTGTGGTTGCTTTAAGAAATCTCAACTTGGAGTTATAAACTGTATTACTTCATCTTCTATATACAGGACCTGTGTATATGTGCTTGGGCTCATAGCTAAAACCAAACAAGGCTGTGATATTCTAAAATGTCACAACTGGGATGCTGTGAGGCATAGTCGCAAACATCCATGGCCAGTAGTTCCAGATGATGTGGAACAACTTTGTAATGAACTTTCATCTATCCCAAGTACTCTAAGTTTGAACTCAGAGTCAACCAGCTCTAGACATAATAGTGAAAGTGAATCTGCACCATCAAGTGAGTATCAATCATCACAGAAACATTTGATTTGTATTTACATTTGAATTTTTATTTTTACATTGTAAACATTTGTATTTTTCAAAGTAAATGTATTTGTTACATCCTTATTATACTTTTATCTAAGATAATATTTTGACAATAATAACCTCTTGGAGAATGCATATCTTTTCACAACAGAGTATAGTCACCAGCCTACATCGTTCTCTCCCCTTGTTATTCTTAATAGCTTTTGAAAAATCCTACATACTGAGTTATATAGAAAGCCACATGCCAGAAGAACCAGTGCCCTTTTTCATTGTCATAAAAGAAACAAATTTAACAAGTATTTGTTTACCATCTTCATTTACTTAATCTTTTTTTTTTTTTGAGTTGGAGTCTCACTCTGTCGCCCAGACTGAAGTACAGTGGCCGCTCCCGGCCACCGCAGCCTCGACCTGCTGGGCTCCGGCGATCCTTCCGCCTCAGCCTTCCAAGGAGCTGGAATTACAGGCATGCACTACCACGCCCGGCTGATTTTTTGATTTATTGTAGAGATGAGGTCTCGCTGCCCAGGCGGGTCTCGAACCCACGGGCTCAGGCAATCCACTCACCTCAGCCTCCCAAAGGCGCGGGATTACAGGATGAGCCACCGAGCCCGGCTACTTAATCTTTTTACTCATTTTTTTAAGATATAAAGATTGTTAAGCCAGAATATATTTTTGAGAGACATTATAGTCACATCTTTATATTTGAGAGAAGCACTCTCAGACAATGGAACTGCTAACAGATGGAGTATTAAAAATAATTATATATAAAGTGGTTGTGATTTTAAACCCTGTGCTAAATGCTATCAGGTGTACAAAATTTATGGCATGCCTCTTCCTTTTAAGATAGTACCAGATATAAAAGACTATATTTCACCAAATATGAAATGCCATTAATTATTACATGAACCAAAATTTTATGTACTACTGAGAAAGAAGAAAAAAATGCTGCCTATTAAACTAGGACATACCACTGGTTGCAGGATGCATTCTAATTTTAGAATCAGATATTCTGTGTGAAAATAAGAGATCAAAAGTGAAAAATATGCATCTTGGAATTGACAAAATATAGAAATACAATGCAGTATGCAAGTTCATATAGGATTTTCTCTTACTGTCTCTCAAAATACATTTGGAGTAGTTTACAGTTATTCAATAGAAAAGTTAAAGAAAAGTTAAAGTAGACTAAAATCTTACGGATGTCACTAGGCACCTAGGTTGAATCCTCTATAGAGTTGATCACTGAATTTAGATGAGTTTCTTAGTATTTAAGACAAAATAGGAAATAAACATAATTAGCTTAAACATGAATTTAAAATGTTGTAGCTTGGTTCTCTATAACTATATTTTGTTAAAGATTGGGAATTTGTTTCTTACAAGATAAATTTCTCTTACCTTTTGTGATTTGAAGATAAACCACTAGGATTCGTTAGCAACTGAGTGAGCATCCACGGTCAAGATTCCTTTTTCCCTTTAATTTTTATTCTGAACAGTTGGAGAATCAAAAGAAACTTTATGTAACTTGTGCCATAGTGAGTCTTGTGGTTTTTCTTTGGAAATAACAGGACATTCTCATAATGACATCATTTTACATTTTATTCACATTCAAACTCTGGGTTTCAGGGAAACTCTTTTTGTGTGGCTGAATGGTTTAACCCTTAATTTTGAATTTTTTTCTACCAGATGACTAAAAAAACTTTTCCGGAAATGTGATGTCACTAGTAGTTATCATATATCTGTCATTTTGCATGTGCTTGTATTAATTGATCCTTCAATCATAGGTATGTTCATATTGGAGGATGACCGATTTGGCAGCAGCTCTACTAGTACGTTTTTCCTTGATATCAATGAAGATGCAGAGCCAGCATTTTATGACCGATCTGGACCCATAAAGGATAAAAATTCATTCCCTTTCTTTGCTTCTAGTAAACTTGTGAAGAATCGTATCTTAAATTCACTTACTTTGCCTAATAAAAAACATCGTAGTAGCAGTGATCCAAAAGGAGGGAAAGTGTCATCTGAAAATAAGACAAGCAACAGGCGAATCAGAACACTTACGGAGCCAAGTGTTGACTTTAACCATAGTGATGATTTTACACCCATATCCACCGTACAGAAAACATTACAATTAGAAACTTCATTTGTTGGGAATAAGCACATTGAAGACACTGGTAGTACACCAAGTATTGGAGAAAATGACTTAAAATTCACCAAAAGTTTTGGCACAGAGAATCACAGAGAAAATACAAGCCGAGAGAGGTTAGTGGTAGAAAGTTCAACAAGTTCCCATATGAAGATACGTAGCCAAAGTTTTAATACAGACACTACAACAAGTGGCATAAGTTCAATGAGCTCAAGTCCTTCACGAGAGACAGTAGGTGTAGATGCTACAACTATAGACACAGACTGTGGAAGTATGAGTACTGTGGTAAGTACTAAAACTGTTAAGACAAGCCACTATTTGACACCACAGTCTAACCATCTGTCTCTCTCCAAGTCAAACTCCGTGTCCCTGGTGCCTCCAGGTTCTTCTCATACACTTCCTAGAAGAGCACAGTCCCTTAAAGCACCCTCTATTGCTACAATTAAAAGTCTAGCAGATTGTAACTTTAGTTACACAAGTTCTAGAGATGCCTTTGGGTATGCTACACTGAAAAGACTACAGCAACAAAGAATGCATCCATCCTTATCTCACTCTGAAGCTTTGGCATCTCCAGCAAAAGATGTGCTGTTTACTGATACCATCACCATGAAGGCCAACAGTTTTGAGTCCAGATTAACACCAAGCAGGTGAGCAGATATATGTTTAAAAATAAGCAATGATGGTTGCACTTTAACAAGTTTAAATGTAAAGCATTAGCAAGGTCTTACACCATCTAAGCCTCATAACTGACCTATTCCAATTGTTTACTATGGTAGGCTATAAGCTCCTTGTTACCCGATATGATTTGAAATGGATTCTTGCAGCTGCGAGGGGGGAAAAAGAAACTCCTTTAGGCCCTGAAAATAAACATACGTGCTTTGCAAGGACACACAAGTCACAAGCTTTTTTTTATCTATTTCTCGCTTCTGCAAGGATCGATTTTAAAAAGAAGCATGTCGGGGGAATCAGGAGCTTAAGACCTACAATAACAAACAACCTTTTCAGGTAGGTCAATTTAAGGCTCCAAAAGTTGACCTCTTTATTACTTTTTTTTTTAAAGATGACTGAAAATTTTAGTGAAATTATTTTCAGTTTAAGTAGCTATGATTATTAAGTAGGAACCTGAAAAACACTAAATGAAAATACTTAGCCTTTAAGACTCAGCAAGGATCTCTATTATATTTAGATTGTATCAAGCTGGTCAAAGTAAACAGTTTAGATTTTACCTTTAAAATAGACATACAGTATTAAATTTGCAAAAATTTTTGTACCTATATTTTTTTGTTGGGTCATGATTCTAAGCAACTTTCCTTAGTTTTAAGTTATTCGTTTATATTTATTTAAATAGATTAATATATGTCACATGCATAATATGTCAACAGTATGTTAGAATAGTGTCTGGCACATATTAAGCACTCAGTAAAAGTTAGCTGTCATTCTTATCATCAGTAATTTAATGTAGTTCATCTGGTTCTTACATTAAATTCTGAATAACATTAAACAGTTTTGTTTCAATATTGCTTAACACACTTAATAGAGGGTCTCCTGGTAGCAGATGATGAATTATATCTTTTTTTGTAGAATTTAATGAACTATGCAGAAATGTCTCATCTGCTTGGAACTCACTGACTTTGGCTACCTTGTTCAGAACAAACCCAGACAAACATCTCAACAGCTCACTTTTACAAATGTATGCAATAAAGTTGATGGATTTTGAAAAATGTAGGTCTATTACCACCTCTGATAGAGATTGCACTCAGGGGTTTTAAGCTGTTTTATTGTTGCTTTTGGAGCAGAGAAACCTTTTTTTTCACAAAAAGATTTCTGTGAAAACCCAGTATATGGAATAGATAGAAATGGAGCTATACAAGTTGAAATAGGAATTGGGAAGGAGAATAATCCAATAATTTTTCCTCCCATTCCACTATTCCTTGAAGAGTTCTTTGGAGTCAGAGAGAGATAACACTGTACAATTTCAAAACCACTGACCTCTTTTATGGAATTCATGAATTTCAGTTAAGACTGGTTTTTAGATGTTAGTTAGGTTTTTACTTTGATGATCTTAATAGCTACTATTTATGAAGCTTTCATATTGTACATTTTATGAAATAGTTCTTTGATTTAATATCAGGCTGTATAAGTACATTTTAAATATTTATACAAGGCACTATGCAAGTTTCCATATTTGTGTGTGTACATTTCTGACCTTGTTTTTAGTCACGTATGACTTTGTTTTTTAATCCTTGACCCTGTTTATCCCATATAAGGCAGCCATTGTGGTACCCAGTCATACAAGGTAGCCCTAATCCCATGAGATACTCATAGATCTTTAGATGTAAAATATACATTTGCTCAGAAGTCTAAAGGTATTTTCAACACACACACAAATATGGAACCTTGCATAGAGCCTTGTATATATACAGCAGATATCAAGTAGATATTTTTAGCATGTCTGTTGTATGAATAAGAATCTATGAGTAGGGCAACCCCTTTGGGTCCCCTCCCACTGTGGGAGCTTTTCTGCCCTCTCAATAAATCTCACTTTTAAAAAAAAGGAATCTATGAGTATATGAGAAAGATGTATCTTATGGAAATATCACTGTATCATATTTGTTGTGGGGTCTCTGGTAAGAATACAGTATGGAAATATCAGTGTTTTATCTAAAGCTCTTTTTTGTCATATATATCAATGGCACCATTTTTGTGTTGTGTCTTTCTGTGTTACATAAATCTTACATCTTATGTTGATAATGAAAGCATTGAGGTAATTATCACCCACAAAATGATAATGTAATTGATCTTATCTTTCACTAATATGTTAAATGGCATTAATACACATACACTTAGTTGTATGATAACAAATCTAGCAGTCTCAAGTGATTGTGAAGATTGTCCTTGGACCATACCTCTGACTTCTGAGGTATGTTTATTTTTTTATTTTTAGATATTGAAAGTTATTTAATTGCTCACCTTTTCACCTTTATCTGGGAGACCATAACTGTTGTTTTTGGTGACAGTCAACATAACTGGGAACCTTTTACATATCTGTCTAAAGCAGCTAATATTTTTAAGTGATTATGTGTTCCCAGTAAACAAGATGGCACTGCTTAGTACTTGACTAGCTACTTGTCTTTTATGAAGGTAGGAGGTAGGAATATAAGTTGTTTCTTTATATATTAAAATTACAAATCAAGAAAATAATACAAGTTCTTTTTTTGGGGGTTTTTTAGGTTTATGAAAGCTTTAAGTTATGCATCATTAGATAAAGAAGATTTATTAAGTCCTATTAATCAAAATACCCTGCAGCGATCCTCCTCAGTGCGGTCCATGGTGTCCAGTGCCACATATGGGGGCTCAGATGATTATATTGGACTGGCTCTCCCAGTAGACATCAATGATATATTCCAGGTATCCTCATACATTTTCATGAATTGGTCTCCTCTTTATTAGAAATCATAACTTAGTGGACACTAATTTGGGGAAAAATGATCTTTAAAGACAGTTTTGTTTAGAAAAATTTTAAATGAAAATCGTTTTGCCATTTTTAGCTATTCTATACTCTTATTTAATATCTCTGGATCCTTAGAACATTATCCTCCCTCTCTTCCCATACTAAATTCGTATCATTTGATTTCTTTATCTGTATATTCTTTGTAGAAATTTATTACATTCCTGACCTTGTTTTTAGTCATATAAGACTTATACCTTGTTTTTTAATCCTTGATTCTATTTATCCCATATAAGGCAGCCATTGTGGTGCCCAGTCATATAAGGTAGCCCTAATCCCATGAGATACTCATAGATCTTTAGATGTAAAATATACATTTGCTCAGAAGTCTAAAGGCATTTTTGATAAACACTAAAATAATTATTTTAATATGCATTTACTCACCAAGAGTAGGATAAGGACTTTTAGAGTTGTCATTTTGTTAAGTTGTAGCAATTTAACCTTCTGTAGTATAAACTTTTCACTGTAGGTTTATATGCTGTAGTAGTTCTGTTTTAATCGTATTTCATTTCATTTTACTAATATTCATAAAGTGGACTTCTTTTTATAAAAGTACTTAACATGATATATATCTGTTTTAGATAAAGTACTTAACATGATATATATCTGTTTTAGGTAAAGGATATTCCCTATTTTCAGACAAAAAACATCCCTCCCCATGATGATCGAGGTGCAAGAGTATTTGCCCATGATGCAGGAGGTAATGCATTGTTCTTTGTATTTATGAGACTTCTCTCTATATTAAAAAGAAAATTCTTAGTTGTTTTTTGTAGGATGGTATTAAAAATTTAAGTAGACCTACTCTTGGGTAGGCCCAGTTTTTGTGAGAGACGTAAAGTGTTTTTTTAACTAAGTACTTAGCCTCCCAAGAAGATAAAAACCAAATTAGTTGTTCTGTTTTTTAAAAAGTAGTACATGTAGTACATGAAAAACTTATAGCAGTAGACCTCATATGTCCATGGAACAGCTATTTGTTTGGGGCAAGGAGAGAGAGAAAAATGAACTTACATATTACATTATCTCTCTTTGTTATGAACTGTTATATATTTTAATGATTATATACATATAAGCCACAAATTTTTAGCTTTATAATCTTGATTTTTTTTTAACAAATGCCTCTTTATAGTTGGGATAATTACCTTCGTTAGACAGTTATTGAGATAACTGAAATGATTTATAAATTATATAATGTTAGCTTTCCATTTGTATTTAAAACTGCATTAAAGTAATATAAACATATCTGCTGACTAAAAAAAATATCTGCTGACTTGAGTTATTTTTGTAATTTAAAGCAAATTACTCTTTTTTCTTTCCAGTTAAAGTTAGATTCTGAGCCATAAAAAGTGTTTTGGCTCTCTTTCCTAATTTCTTTCTTTAAAAATACACATAATTTAAGTCATCTTGAAAAATACTCTTTTTATCGGATTGTGTATTTATGCACAGGTCTTCCATCTGGAACTGGAGGTCTTGTAAAAAACTCTTTCCACTTGCTACGACAGCAGATGAGTCTTACAGAAATCATGAATTCCATCCATTCAGACGCCTCTCTGTTTTTAGAAAGTACAGAAGACACTGGACTACAAGAGCATACAGATGATAACTGCCTTTATTGTGTCTGTATCGAAATTCTGGGTTTCCAGCCCAGTAATCAACTAAGTGCAATATGTAGTCATTCAGGTAAGTGATCGTGTCCTTCTAGATGAATCCACCTGAATTTGAATCTGCTCCAGTACCAAGGCATCTCTCAGCTCTTTTAATCATATCCTCTTGTTCTGTTCTATGTCAGCTTTAGTTCAGCCAATCAACATCTCCCTACTGGAGTATTAGTTTTTCAGCCTCTAATGTTGGTCCCTTCCCATTCATCTTTCATACTATCGTTTAGGATTAATCTGTGTACAGTTCTTTACTGACTACTCATGCCTAACACACAAGACTCATTATGATCTGTCTAGTGTTTTTTTTCCTGCCATTTTCCTTTCTTATATCTGACATACCATCACTGACTGACTTGAAGCTTTGAATAAACTTCTAGGCATGAAAAACGTGTTTTCCCTGCTGTTCTCTCCTTGCCCTTTCCCCTTATCATGCAGACATCCGTGGTTTATTTGGCAAGTCCACCTCATCCTCTGTGTCAACAGCATCTTGCCTGTGAAGTCTTCTCTGATTCTCTGAGTCAGTTGTTGATACTCCTTTCTTTCTGCTCTCATTGCTCTTTGCAAATAGATCTCTCGCAATAATTATGATTATTATTACTTGATATTTTTTTGTCCCTTCCACTAAGTTCCTTTATGACATGTCTTTTCAAAAGTTTTCAGATTTCTTAATACCTAGGTACATACTGCTTTGTACAGTAGGTCCTCAGTATGTATTTGGTGAGTGAGTAAATAAAGTGTACTCAGATTGAGCTTTTTTATGTAGATCAATGAGTAACATGTATTAGCAATTTCAGTGTAGTATATATGTGTTTAAAGTTATATCTTTAAACTATTAAACATATGTATTAAACACATGTATATATTATATCTTGTTGAATGTCACTTAGCCAATCTCAGAAAAACCTAGTGATGAGCAAAGTTCTCTGGTTTACTTTTCCAGATTTCTCCTTGATATTCTAATTATTAGCTTCCTAACTAATGGTTGCAGCTCACTGATATGCCACAGTAGGATGTGGTTGTGTTGAGATACTGATCCTCTCAATGGTTTTGTGTCTCAGTAGGGCCTGGGTATGGCACATCCTTGGACTATGTATTTTCTACTATGAATAGCCCTGTCTGGAACCCTTGCATACTATAATTATTTTCACTTTCTATGAATAAGTTTGGGAAAGCTATTCGATATATTGTACATAATAGAGAAGATGCGATTTTTAATCAATTTGGCTATTCATTGTTCGTGATTTAGTTCCTACAAGTTCTTCTTCATTTACTCGTTCAACAAATACTTACGAAGTGCTTACTGTGGAGCTTTGCTGTACTGTTTCCCACTTATGAACAGATAAGGTAACCAGCCTTCTCAGTACCCAGGCACAAGGCAGTCACAGCTAGTTCTAATCCATTTGTGATCTGTGTAATCAAATCTAGTGTTAAAAAGCGTAGGACTTGTGTGGGAGACTTGCTGCAGTCAGAGAGGCACTCATCTTGGCACAAGCCATTGGAACCTCCCCTTACCCCTCCCCCCGACTTTCTATTCTAGTGATGTAAAGTTTAGATTGAGGAGCAGTCGGGAAGAGAGAATAATTATTGTCTTAATTGGGAAATTATTACAGTTTGCCTCCTGATAGTCATTTGAGATGTGTGAGGGATGGGAAGCTAATTGAACCTTTAAACATTCATGCACTCAACATGATATTTATTATGCAGCCTGGGCCAGACATTGTAGTAAATTCTAGGAAAGAAATTGTGAGGAAAAAAACAAAAGGGCACTGTCTCTGCACTTTTCTAACTTCAATCCAGTGGGGAAAGAAATATATTGATTAACGGGTTAATGCAGATAAAATGCTGCATTCATAGCGAATGCCATTAAGAAGTGGCACATGGTACTAGCCGAGGACTGTAATCAAGTAGGCAGATCAAAGAAGAGATTTCTGAAGGAGTTACTGTTCAGCTGTGGTCTGAAGAATGAATAGAAGCTAAGTGAAGATGGAAGTAAAGGGTATTTTAGACAGAGGGGACAGCAGGAGCACTATTTATCCAGTGAGAGCGAGCTTGAAGAATGAAAGAGGCTACAGGATACCTGTGTGACTAGAGCTCAGCCGGAGGGAAGGAGATGACAAGATGGGCCTAGGAGGATAAGGAGAGACCAGGCTCTACAGAGAGCCCTTGCCACCCAAAGTATGAATAGTGGGCCTGCAGCATCAGCATGCCCTTGAGGACTTGTTAGAAATGCAGAATCTCAAGCTTCGCTCCACACTTGCAGAACCAGAATCTGCATTTTAACAAGACTCACAGGTTATTCACATGTACAATAAAGTTTGAGAAGTACTGCTACAGGCCATATTAAGGTTTTTGTGTGTCAGAAAGAAGATACTGTTATTATCTCTGACGAATAACTAAAACCTAGTTCCTTTGTAATGTTTATTTTTAGAGAGATGTCAAGTCTTGAACACAATAGGTATTCTCAGAATTTCTAGTCTGGTAGTGATGGTGGTTCAACAAATGTTAATGTTCAGAAGAATGATACTAGACTAGCATATTTTAGTAGCACATTTTGTTTTGTGTTCTGATATTTTCCAGATGTTTATGCATTGTACGGTGCTAGTATCCAAGTCAAAATTCAGTCTTGTATATTTCTATTAGGTCTAGCTTATACACGCCACCCACATTTGCCCTAATATAGTTAGCCAACTTATATTGGGGAACTTTGTCAGTGTTTTAAACTAGTCTATCAGAGAAAGCATTAGAAAAACGTCAACTACAAAAGGTAATGGCAAGAGGATCAATTTGAATATCTAAGTTATTAAATTGATAATTTTGAGGGAGTGGGCAAAACTACACTGGGGATAGGAGGAACTAAAAGCAACTGTCATGGTTTTCAAATTATCTTAGCTGTAGAATTTATATTTCACTCACAATTTATTCACAAGACTAGTGGTGTATACACATGATGTTGGGGAAGATGAGACCCAACTATCTGGCCTTCACCTTACCCAACTGACAACCTTTGAGGAGGCCCCAGGAAGTGCCAGTCCTCAAAGAAACACTGAAAGCCACAGGTATAAACAGAGAAGACTTAGAGTTAAAGCCAAGTTGTTCCTTCTAATTAGTTATTTGATCTTGGGCAATCTACCTAATCTCATTGAGCTTTAGTTTTTGTTCTGTTAAGTTTCTAAATGGGAATAATGATACCTTATGGCATTGTTTTTTAAGTTTCTAAATGGGAATAATGATACCTTATGGCATTGTTTTGGTGTTTAATAACGTATTAGATTAGCATTCAGTAAGAGCTCAGTAAATGGTAACTCACAGTAAGGTGTTTATGTTAGAAATTATATTCTCTCCCCTAAATTCTGATAGTTCAGTTATGGAGATCCTGCTGTGTTTCTAAGGGAAATCTCCTTTCTCACTTCTTTGACATCTGCCTATTAGAGGTGGTTATTAGGTGGGTATAAATGTATCAGATAGAGCTCTTCACAGAATTCTTATTTTTTTCAGAAATAACTTCATCAGCATTTCTCATAAGCTCTTTTATGACTTATTGCTTTGTGGTAGGAAAATTTAACTTATGATTTATTTTTTTAATTAACCTGAATAGACGTTTGTTTTGTTTTATTTTGTTTTTACAAATAGCTTTTTATTCTTTTTTATATACAGTGGCATTTAGCTGGAGTCAGCTTTATGCTGAACTACATAGGTTAAAGAAGGCACCTAGTCTCTTTGTCTAGGATATGGATCTCTTCTGTGCTTTTTGTCTCCATTTTCAGTTAAAAGATAAAACTAGGCTAGAGTATCATTAATTAAAAAGGAAATAAAAAATAAAAGTAAACAACAATGATTAAGAAATAAACGTCAACCATTTTGATAAAACTACTTAGCTTATGGATGAGATGCTTTATCCAGGTTAAAAATAGTCTTGAAGCCGGGCTTGGTGGCTCAGCCTGTAATCCCGTGCCTTGGGAGGCTGAGGTGAGTGGATTACCTGAGCCCGCGGGTTCGAGACCCGAAGGGGAACTTGGTGAGACCTCATCTCTACAATAAATCAAAAAAAAATTAGCCGGGCATGATAGCGTGTGCCTGTAATTCCAGCTACTTGGAAGGTTGAGGGGGAAGGATCGCTGGAGCCCCAGCAGGTCAAGGCTGCGGTGGCCGGGAGCAGCCACTGCCCTCCAG